GCGCGGCTGCACAGACACAGAGCTAGCCAGGCGCTGCCCATTGAAGAGGAAGGGTTTCAAGAAACATTTCTTATTGGCCAGGGTGCCACTGGGAAACGGCACCGGTCTTGTTATTTCCTTTTATTTTTAAGGAAGTGTACATTTAGATGGGTTTCTTAGCTTTTTTAAAAAAGACCAGCTCTCTGATCAAACCCAAGAAGTCACACTTCCGTGGAGAAACTCAGGATGCGTGTAACTCGCTCCCTCTGTAGCGCAGGAAACCACCGGGTCCCTCAGCGCGCAGTACAATGGGCAGAGTGGTGGGCACTCTATTAGGAGCCAGCCTTACCAGCGTCGTCAGAGTGGTTCTGGGCCGCTTCCTTTCAGAGTGCAACACGCCCCCTAAGTCTCCTGGACCCCTTTGTGGTCCGTCGCTTCCTCACCCCTGGCCCCGCGCAACCGCTGGGACTGGCGGCTGGTTTCCTCTGAACTTCAGCCCAGGCGCGTTCGCCCTGCTCCCCTACGTGGACTTGCTTTGTATCTTTCCGCTGCAATAAGTCATAGCCGCGAGGATGACCTTGCTGCGCGCTGTGAGGCCTCCTGGGGCGTCCTGGAACCCGGGGCTGGTCCTACCGAGTCCCCCTGGGGGAACCATGACCCCAGGAGGAGGAAGCCGCCCTGACCCCCTCAGTGACCGCCGCCCTCCCAGGACCTCCGCCCTTCTCCCCAGCAGGGGCCCAGCTGCTGCTCTTCTCCGCCCCCTCAAATCCTTGGTCTTCTTTCTTGGATGCAGGAGATTCATCAGTTTTTCTTTCTTTCTTTCTTCTTCCTCACTTGTTTTTCCATTTTCTAGGATACAACAGCCAACATGATTCCTCCCCTGTCCCCAGGATGTTCCCAGTCTTTGGGAGGAAACACATTCCAACAAGTATAGATCATCCCGAGTGTTGGTGTGGGAGGAGCGCAGAGGAGGTCCCTAACCTGGAGTGGGGGTCAAGGAAGGCTTCCTGGTGGAGGTGGTATTTATGTGGGAGAGATGCGCAGGATTTAAGGTGCATACCCATGTCAGACTGGGGGTCCAGAAACAGCTAAGTGTTTGATGGCTGGGAGGGGTTCTTAGGCCACACCCCCTCCCGCCATAAGGATTCTTGCACACAGGGTTAATTGAGGGAGAATGCTTAGCAGAAAGGAGTGAGGGAAGCAGAGTAGGATAGAGGCCAGAGCTCAGCCTCACTTCACCGGCAGCCCTGCAGCCTGAATAGCACCATAGAGTTGATCTCCCCTTGGGGTGAGGGCTGGCCTCTTGCCCCTTTGTGACCATCTGCTATTGGCTGTGGTCAGGTCTGAGGGCTCATGCAGTCATTGGACTGGAGGGCCTTTCTCTGGAGAAGGAAAAGCTGTGAGCTGTGAGCAGGGAACACTCCAGCTGTGGGGATGGGTGCTCCAGCTGTAACAGGTGGCTGGACAGGGCACCAACAGCACCCACCGAGGGGCTACAGTTAGTCTAGGATGACTGGGGTCTCTGGCAGGGGGTGGGGAGCAACGAGACCAGAGGAGGAGACCAGTGTAAGGCCTGGCAGGGTCTTGATGTATTCATGAGCCTGCACTTCATCCCCAGGTAATAGGGAGCCGTGGGAGGACTTAGAACATAGGAGGGACATGGTCAGGTTGGGAAGGGCTGCCCTGGAATTCCCCCACGTTCAGTGTGCAGATACACGATGTCTCTGGGGCTCCTCCAGGCTGACTTCTTCAATCTGGAGCGCCCCTAGATTTCCCCTTTGCCGGGAAAGTCACAGGGGGTTAGGCTTCTGCAAGCAGCTGTGCGTTTCCTCCGGCCCGTGCTTCCCCTCCTCCTCCCCTCGTCCCTGCAGGATCTCAGCTGCCCAGATTGTACAGCCTTGGTCACCGCCTCTGGTTGAAGGGTAACTGGCACCTGTGTCCTCACTCACCAGGACCCCAGCCCCCATCTGTGGTGGGGAAAACCCCTCCACATCCAAATCCCAGAGCCTGTGAATATGTGACCTGCCAGGCGAAAGGGACTTTGCAGAGGAGGTGAAGTTAAGGGGCTTGAGATGGGGACATTATTCCGGACTCTCCCTGTGAGTCTAATGTGACGACACGGGTCTTCTTAAGAGGGAAGTTGAGGGAGAAGGAAAGAATGAGAGAAAGAGAATGAGAAAGATTAATTGAGGCATCTTATCTATATAATGAGAGAGAGACAGAGAGAATGAGAAAGATTAATCAAGATAGCTATCATCTATCTAATGAGAGAGAGGGTTTACTTGGCTGGAAGGTGATACAGTGCTGACTTGGAAGATGACGGAGGGAGCCTTGAGCCCAGGAATGTGGGCGCCTCTAAAAGCTGGAAAAGACATGGAATGGATTCTCCCCTTGAGCCTCCAAAAGGAATGCTGCCTCCTGACATCTTGACTCCAGCCCCAAAGGACCCATTTGGGGCTCTGAGCTCATAACATCATGAATTTGTGCTGTTTCAAGCCTCTACGCTGGTGGCTCATTTAGCACCGTGGATACTAGTAATGACAATCATAACTTCTATTACTGAGCATTTAATTTGTACCGGGAAGGGTTTTATGACCTTTATCGCATTAAGCCTCAAACCCTGTGAGATCATTATTACCCTCATGTTACCGATGCGGACAATTGCTTGTGGTGTGTTGGTTACGTCTTGCTGTGTAACAGTTATTCTAAAAGCTCCACAGCTTTACAGGACATACTGTTTCTTCTCCTGTAGTTTCTGAGGGTCAGGCAGGTGGCGGTGGCTTCGCTGGATGCTTGTGGATCGGGGTCTCTCATGAGGTGACCGTCAGCTGCTGTCTGGAGTCCTTGGTCCCCACACGTGGGCTCCCCGCAGGACTGTGTGCCTTTCCAACAGTGACCGGCTCTCCTTCCCTCCACTCTGCGAGTGACCCTGAAAAGGGAGAGCAAGGGGGGAGCCACAAGGACTCTTATGACCTCAGTTGTGTCTGATGCCATAATCTCAGATGATATACGATGTCACATCCTCCTTACCCTGTTCATTAGAGGCAAGTCTTAAGTCCAGTGCACACTCAAGGAAACAGAGTTTAGGCTCCCCCTCTTGAAGGGAGGAGGACCAAAGCATTTGTGGACATGTGTCAAAATGACCGAGCTGGTCTGTCTGCCTCCTGCCCCACACTCCTGGATGCGCTGAGCAGGATTATAGATGACAATACAAGCCCCAGCAGCCCCTCCCAGATGGCAGTATTACCTCATGTACTGTGTTCCCCCTACAATGACCCTCGGAAACAGAGCCTATGTCATGCCCATTCTCCAGATGAAGAAACCGAGGCCCAGAGAGGTAAGCCACCACCCAAGGTCACTTTGGGAATATCTTGCAGAGTCAGGATTCGATCCCAGGTCTGTCACCATAATAGCCAACACATGGAGCCTTTCCTGTGTGTCACACACACCCAGTCCTCGGATGCTCATGTCAGCCCCATGAAGTAGATTTTACTATCACCAGGCCCATTTCACAGATGGGAATGTTGAGACACAGAGAGACTGAGAACTTTCCCAGGACCCCACATGACGAGCAAATGGTAGAGATGGGATTTGAACCCCACCCCTGGGGATGTGCCGTCTGGTCCCAGAGTCTGCGCTTATCGTCCAGAGCCTCTCTGAGACACCTGGCAGCTCTGTTTAGCCTCCTTCTTGGTGCAATTTGCCATGTTTTCACACTGGCTCTTAACTGCAGCTTCTGGGGGCAGGGCCCCTGGGTGCACAAACGGGACCACTATGCATCTGCTCTAGTGGCCATAACTCCAAGATGGGTGTTTTGCTTTACAGAGAGCAAAAGGGAGAAGGCAAGAACTGTCAGCACATTTTCTTCCAGGGAATTTGGGGCGGTTTCTGCACCTCATTTTTAGCTCCTGGCAGATGCTCTTGGTGCCTCCCCACACCCTCAGCGCACGGGAGACTGGCCTCTGTCTCTGGAGCCTGTTCGGTCTCCCTGGAGACCAGGCCCGAGGTGTCCTGGGCTGATGCGAGGTTCAATGTATGACTGACAGTAGCTGGTGGATAAATACCCCGGCTCCCTCGCCCTCAGTTGGGGTAACGCTGCAGAGTGGGTTCTATGCCGCCTTCAAGAGGCGCCCAATGAGGTTAAGCCCAGGTTGTCACATGTATGTGGCTTGTGAACACCCTTTGTGGGTTGGATCCCTGCCCAGCCTCACGACCTCCCCCCACCCCCCGAGTTTCCTGAGAAACTACTTTCACTAGAATCCTTGCTTCGGCATCTGCGGCTGGGGGACCCTTACGAAGGCATTCCCAGACCTCCACAGGAATGAGATTGTGTGTGTGTGGAGTTGGGGCCGGGAAGGGCTGGGCGTGCTGCTGTGCACCGTGGCGATGGCAGTGATGTGATCAGATACAGTGGAGAGCTGAGGAAGGTGAAATAGTCAAATCTCTAAACTTGGCAGAGGGCCCTGGATTCGAATCTTAGGTCCTCAGGCAGTCTTGGACCTGGCACATCTCCTCTCCAAAGCCTTCCTTTTCCATTTTTTTGGTAAAATAGGTGGAGTTGAAATTCCTACTTTGCGATGTTGACGCGGTGATGTTGTTAAATTTTGTTAGCCATGTGTCTAGCGCAGGGCCTGGTACGTGATAACGGAGCGCAGGGGCCCTGGAGCTTGGGGCTTGCTTCTTTCGGGGCAGGTGGCTGAAGCTCGTTTAGTATCGGCTGCAATAAAACAAGGTGATAAGAAATGGGAGACAGATGTTGGTTGGGAAGAAAAAAAGATCAGGGGGGAAGCTGAGAGAGAGAGAGAGAGAGAGAGAGAGAGAGAGAGAGAGAGAGAGAACAAACATAGCGGCCCACTAGCCAGACCAACTTCTCTTCTCAGTGGAGAAAGGAGAATTTGAGAGTTTGCACACTGTCTGCATGAGTGGCAGCAACTCAGCAAAAAAACGGTCCATGGGGCACTGGCAGTAATTGAGCAACTCCTGCTCCGCCCCCTCCTCCCCTTCCCCCGACATCCTCTGTTTTATTGGAAAGCCCGAGGATGCAGAGAAGGTCCTCCTCTTTGAATGGCAGGAGCAGCACGATGTGGACCTTCAGCCTGCTCCTCTTCTGGGGTGAGTGTGTGTTACATTCTGTCGAACTCAGAAGGCTTTTCTGGGGAGGCTCAGCCACAGCCTGACCTACAGGGAGATTGACCTGCTGGGAGGCAAGGGGGCCAGGCTGTACCCAGGCCTCTGTCATTGCTTCTAGGCCAGTCAAACAGCTGTGGGATGGCTGTGCCAACCTGGTAAAGTAGATGGGGGGGTGGGGGGGTTCTAAGAGTGGCTACCTGCCCACCCCTCCTGACCTGGCAAAGCGTAAAGATCTCATGAGCTGATGTAGGCAGCTCCCCAGGAAGAGCCTGCATTTTCCTTGTCACATACACACTCCTCCTGCTTTCATCACTTGCCCCAGAAATCGTTGGAACTTGCCCTAGTTGGTTTGCCTAGTGGTTAGAGCAGTGATGGCAAACCTTTTGAGCTCGGAGTGTCAGCATTTTGAAGAACCCTAACTTAACTCTGGTGCCGTGTCACATACAGAAATCTTTTTATATTTGCAACCATAGTAAAACAAAGACTTATATTTTTGATATTTATTTTATATAGTTAAATGCCATTTAACAAAGAAAAATCAACCAAAAAAATGAGTTCACGTGTCACCTCTGACACGCATGTCATAGGCTCGCCATCACTGGGTTAGAGCATCAGACTGTGGACTGAAGGGTCCAGGGTTGGATTCCAGTCAAGGGCACATGCCCAGGTTGTGGGCTCGATCCCGAGTAGGAGGTGTAAAGGAGGCAGCTGATTGATGATTCTCTCTCATCATTGGTGTTTCTATCTCTCTCCTCTCTCCTTTCCTCTCTGAAAGCAATAAAAATATATTAACAAAAAAAAGAAAGAAATCGTTGGCACTTAGGGAAACTTGGGGACTGGCTGGGTGACAGGGTGCGTGCCGGCCAGATCTCAGGTGCATCTAATGACCTCTTTTCTCTGTTTGCAGGTTGGCAGCCCTGGTCAACACAGGCGGATTTTGGTAAGAGACTCCCCCTGATTGAAGACAGTTGGACCTTGGATAAGTGCCTTCGTCCCTCAGTTTTGCCATCTGATTAATGGGTGCTGTATGACCCTGTGTGATGGGATAGTTGTGAGGATTCAGCCCCATGTGGAGCTGTTAAGAAGGGGCTCTGGAGTCACACTTCCTGGGTTTGAATCTTGGTCCCAGAGCCATTGCCATTGCCATGGGGACCTGGGGTGTTTTAGTAAATTCCAGGGACTTTAATTTCCATGAAAGTGAAGGTAAGAGGAGTGACTCCCACAGAGGTTATTTATTTATTTAAACCTTGTTGCTTTATTTTGCGCTTTTAAAATTCACAGAAAGATTCACAATATCTGCTTTCCCCCTTTGATCGCCAAGGCTTTATAAGACAATGAAAATGTGATCACATCAATTGGGCATACTCACAAACAATGGACAATATGCAAACACATTTTTTTAATGCAGAACATTTTGCAAAATACACAGTGGTACACATCAGAATTAATCTCTCCTAAAATTAGACTTTAAAGTTTAAAATTAAAAAACACACAGACAGATTTAACACAGACAAACCTACCAGAATAATGCTGGTGGCAAGCTTATTATAAACTGCTTTAAATGTTTAAATCTTAGCTATTGAACCTACATTTAAGTGCAGTTGTGAGTAAAAGTCCTATAATTGAATGAATTTCAAGAAAGTGAACAACTCTTTTGCCTCCATGGTAGCTTCTCAAGTTTATTATTTATTTATTTATTTATTTATTTTTTTTTTTAAATAAATCTTTATTGTTCAGATTATTACAGATGTTCCTCTTTTTCCCCCTCATAGCTCCCCTCCACCTGGTTCCCACCCCACCCCATGCCTTTATCCCCCACCACTGTCCTCATCCATAAGTGTAAGATTTTTGTCCAGTCTCTTCCCGCACCCTTCACACCTCCTTCCCCCTGAGAATTGTCAGTCCACTCCCTTTCTATGCCCCTGCTCCTATTATATTCACCAGATTATTCTGTTCATCAGATTTTTTTTATTGACTTAAGTTTTAGATTCACTTGTTGATAGATACATATTTGTTGTTCCTTTGTTGTTCATAATTTTTATTTTTGCCTTTTTCCTCTTCCTCTTCTTAAAGAATACCCTTCAGCATTTCATATAATCCTGGTTTGGTGGTGATGAACTCCTTTAGCTTTTTCTTGTCTGTGAAGCTCTTTATCTGACCTTCAATTCTACATGATAGCTTGCTGCGCAGAGTAATCTTGGTTGTAGGTTCTTGCTATTCATCACCTTGAATATTTCTTGCCACTCCCTTCTGGCCTGCATGGTTTCTGTTTGAGAAATCAGCTGACAGTCGTATGGGTACTCCCTTGTAGGTAACTGAGTTTCTTTCTCTTGCTGCTTTTAAGATTCTCTCTTTGTCTTTTACCCTTGGCATTTTAATTATGATGTGTCTTGGTGTGTTCCTCTTTGGATTTCTCTTATTGGGGGTTCTCTTCGCTTCCTGGACTTGTAATTCTATTTCTTTCATCAGGTAGGGGAAGTTTTCTGTCATTATTTCTTCTAATAGGCTTTCAATATCTTGCTCTCTCTCTTCTTCTGGTAACCCCATAATTTGGATGTTGGTACATTTGAAGTTGTCCCAGAGGCTCCTTACACTATCTTCATATTTTTGGATTCTTTTTTCTTTTTACTTTTCTGGATGGGTGTTTTTTTCTTCTTCGTATTTCAAATCTTTGACTTGATTCTTGGGATCCTCTAGTCTTCTGTTGGATCTCTGTATATTATTCTTTATTTCAGTCAGTGTATGCTTGATTTCTGACTGGTCCTTTTCCATTTTTTTTGGCATTCTCATTAAGATCCTTGAAGGTCTCACTAAGTTCCTCAGAGATTTGTAGAAGATTCTTGAGTAACCTTATAACTGTGGTTTTGAACTCCAAACCCAGTAAACTGCTTTCCTCAATTTCTTCCATTTGTGACATGTTTCTTTGTCTCCACATCTTGGCTACTTCCCTGTGTTGACAGAGTGGCTTTGTGTGGTAGGTGTCCCACTGGGCCCAGTGGCTCAGCCTCTCCAATCACCTGAGGTGGACACTCTTGGTGCACCCCTCCGTGGGCTGGGTGCACAGTCCAGTTGTAGTTAAGCCTTGAATGCTGTTGGTATCCCTGGGAGGAAATGACCTCCAGGCCAATTAGCTGTGAGGACCCGCTGTGCCTATAGTGGAAGAACTGCTGTGCTGGAGACGCCCTTATGGGGCAGGATTTGCTTCAGTGGGGCTTTGGTGCTCACTGAGTCTGCCTCTTGAGTGTGTCACTTATGGATGTGAGGAGTTGAAATCTTGTATCTGACCACTGGGTACACTGGCTTCTGGATCTCCAAGGAGGTGCAAATTCAACCACTGTGTGAGTCCGCCCAACAGTACCTACTGCAAGATCTGCAGATTTCTCCTCTTTGTTTGGGGTTTGGAAATTTTGGAGCTCTCTGACTCAGCTGCAGTTTTTTAGGTTAGGCTGCAAAAGGGCAGGTGATTCATTTGTGCTGCTGCGCACAGGTTGGGTGGGGCGGGGTCTCAGAGAATCACCGGGGTGGAGCAAACAGTGATGGCTGTTGTCAGCAGTCTCCGCGACTCCATGCATCTCCACATCTCATTGTCTCCATCTCAGTGTCTCCGCATCCCCGAGTCCTGCGCCCCCACAGTAACAATGATCCCTGCGAGCAGTTCTGTAAGAAAGCCACCCTCACTTTCTGACCCAATGCCAGACAGTCTGGTTTCTCCCCGTAAGAGTCTGGGTCCCTAGAGACTCCCTGGAAACAAGGTCAGTACAGTCGGGAGCTTGTATCTCCCTTCCCACGCACCCAGGAGCAGCCCGGTTCACACGCCTCCATACCTCTGCTCTTGGCGCCTCCACACCTCCGACCCAGCCTCAATGCGCTTTTTTCCTTCTAGTTGTAGAACTTCCACTCAGCCAGCTTTCCCATGGTTCTGGATGATCACCGTTTTGTCTTTTCGTTGTAGTTTTAATGTGGTTGTGGGGAGCGGCACGTACAGGTATATACCCTATGCCACCATCTTGGTTGTTCCTCAAGTTTATTTTTTAAATTGTGACATCCTGACTAAAGAAAATGGATCCTGGGCCTATAACACGTAAGGAGAAGAAACCCATGGGACAGGGGAGAAACAAAATCAGTACATTTATTCTTTCTAAGGTGGTTGTAACAAACAAAATCATTGCTCACATCTATATATATAAAAGGCTACTATGCAAAGTGTCCCTCAGTTTGACCACTTGCTATGATGTGCGCTGACCACAAGGGGGCGGTGAGGAGGGAAGGAAGGCCCCGGCGAGCAGCCAGATGGCCCCAATCAGCCCTGATCACTTGGCCAGGCCTAGGGATCCTACCTGTGCACGAATTTCATGCACCAGGCCTCTAGTGAATAAAGAATACCAGAGATAATATGTGGGGTTGAGTTTTGGCTATGTACAACATCTAAATGGCAAAAATAACGATTCAAGTTGGTCTTATATAGGAGACGTAAGAAAATAATTGTTGCCTTCAATTCAATTTTAAATTTGTGGAATGGCATAATACATTTTTTGAGGTCCCTATTCCAGGATCTGCTAAAATTATTTATACTGCTATTTCCATATTTAATAAGATGTTTATCTACTCTGGGTAGCTGTTAAGATAGTATCAATAAAGGCCACTAAAAATGATGCCAGAATTCAGGTGAGAAGAGAGTGGAAATGGGAAGAGGATGGGAGGATAATGACATTGGGTAGTAATAACAAACATAATTTTGAAGGTTTCCTAACTAATGCCACAAAATTATATATGTTGGCTAAATGCCACTGGACAGCTGGAAGTGATCAGGAAATGAGTGGAATATCCTAATTGTCCCAGTTAGATTCCTCACTAGCCTGTTATTTGGATGGCTAGCTCATGAGGGATGGTTTACACAAACTGCTGGGTCAAAGGACACTTCACAATAAAATCCTGTTTTCTAAGTAAAGGGACCTAAATTAATGTCTGTGCGAGGCTTACTACATATTCTGCTTTGTTTCTCCCAAGAACACTTTTGAAGAATCCCTTAGAAAAGCAGCAAAACAAATAACTTTTTAGACTACAAAGAGATTAACCAAGACATAATCAGTAAATAGTTTAATCATGGATATGTTATCAGTCTTCTCTCTAAAGATAGGGAATATGGGCCAATGGCAAAAAAAAAAAAAAAAAAAAAAATGTAGCTCTACTACTCCCTCAAATTATAAATTTTTTTCTTTCAATTAGAAATTTTAAAAGAAATTTCAGCTTTAAAATGGACCTCATCTTTCACCTCAAATTACCTACATATGATGTCGTTTAAGACACACACAAGAATTTCGGGATTATTTTAATAGAAGACATTAATTTAGGTTCCTTTACTTAGAAAACAGGCTTTTATTGTGAGGTGTCTTTTAAGAGATTTAAGTGCTCTAGGTACTGTCATGAGAATTTATACTCAAAAGATACCAAGGCACTCAGAGTTTATTTGGATCTTATACTTAAACATATTAAAACTAACAAGGCCTAAGATAAGCAAGCAACAAGTCAATAAGATCACAACTTAAAATTCTTACATTTTCACATGGTATCAGTGACTATGAAATGCAAAAAGTCTTATAAATGTTTAAGTGTGATGATCTCTGAAAATGACACTAGCGTGACCAAACAAATGACCACATACTATGGAAGACTACAGCACATGAATAAGTACGGAAAGCTGTTCTCCAGAACTTGAAACATTACTTGACCCATCATTTTAGAGGGGGGGAAAGATAAGTAGTTAATTAGAAGGCTCTACACGTAGATAAAACAAATTCTAATTAAAATATCTTAAGACTACTTTAGATGTTTATTTGATCTTGGAACTGTGGTCAACATCATGAAGTACTTCTCTTCCTCAAAAAAAAAAAAATCCATATTTTAAGGATTTACACAATCAGGGGGACGGGTGGGGCGGGAGGGGGGGCGGGGTCTAGTATTTTTTTTTTTTTTTTTTGCCTGAGCAAGTAAATTTTTTAAAAGGCTCCTCAAAGCCTTGACTAGTGGTGTCATATTCTGCAATGAAATGCTTGAGTTCTTCCACACACCGTTCACCTATTTCATGTAAATTCTGTCTCCATGCAAACTGTATGGACTTTTCTAATGAAGGATCTTTTCCAATCGGCGTTTTCCCAACCATCCCGAAAGTTTCACAGCCTTGTCGGCAAACCTGTTTAATCTCTCTCTCTTTTTAAAAAAAAAAAAAAAAATTTTGTTGATTTCAGAGAGGAAGGGACAAGAAGAGAGAGAAACATCAATGATGAGAGAGAATCGTTGATTTGCTGCCTCCTGCACACACCCTACTGGGGATCGAGCTGCAACCCAGGCATGTGCCCTTGATTGGAATCGAACCTAGGACCCTTCAATCCATAGGCCGACGCTCTATCCACTGAGCCAAACCAGCTGGGGCAATCTCTTTGGTTTTTGATGCTATTGCTTTGGAGCGGCCGTTTAGCTGACTGTCTTCAAATAATCCCATGCCTTCTGCTGCATTTGACTCAGGTTCTTCTGACTGGTCGGTGAACAGTGATGCTGTGGATCCTGCCTCAACCTTAGGAACTCCAAGTACGTTCCTTTCATCTGCCTTCTCTCACTTCTCAGTAGCCCCCTTGCCTGCAGCCTCGGCAGGCTCCTTTTGAGTTAGCTGACCGGGTTTGTCTCACATCTTCGATGAAGGAGCTGCTGCAGAACTTGAGGGGGAAGTGCCTTTTGGTGTTTTCACAGACCGAGCAGGTCTCTCTTGGCTTTCCTTCATGCTTCCGTGTGCCGTGAGCTGCAGCACGCACGGGTTTTCCGGGTTGAGACTGATGGAAAGAGTAAGTTTTGCTTCTTTCTGGAGAGAAGCTTCTACTACGGACACTGGAGCCAGGTCTGCTGTGTGCAGGGTCCTTTCTGTCAGTGGGCGATTCTCTTAAACACGGAGTTTCTCTTTTATGAGGAGACCGGTCTCTGACACCAGGGAAGCATGGAAACTTTTTCTTTTTTTTTTTGAATCAGGTAATTTTACCTATGTTTATTAAACTGACTGAGTTAGAGGATCAGTGCTGGGGTCCAACCCCAGCAGGTCCAGGGGTCCCCAAAGGTGTGGACAGAGTCAGCGAAGAAGGAATGACACGGAGACAGCGTTCAGTTGATCAGCAGCCTAGCCAGGATCTCTAGCCAAGTTCTGGTCAGGATCTCCAGCGAAGTTCTGGTTAGGATTTCCAGCCAGGTTCTGTGTTCATGTTCTCTTGCTAGGTTCTCCAGCCAGGTTCTCCAGGTTCTCCAGCCAGGTTCAGTAGTCATGTTCCCTCGCTAGGTTCTGTCCAGGTTCTCCAGCCAGGTTCGGTCACCAGGTTCTAGTCAGGTTCTCTTAACATGTTCTATCCAGGTTCTGTAGCCAGGTTCTGTCTCTAGGTTCTTCAGCCAGGTTCTCTCGCTAGGTTCTGTGTCTAGGTTCTGTGGCCAGTTTCTGTCCAGGATCTTTTGCCATGTTCTCTCGCTAGGTTCTGTCTCTAGATTCTGTGGCCAGTTTCTGTCCAGGATCTTTTGCCATGTTCTCTCCAGCGAAGTTCTTCTGTCTCTAGGTTCTGTGTAGGTTCTGTGTCTAGGTTCTGTGAAACTTTTTCTTCTAAATCCATCTCTCATGTCCCTGTATTCAGACTGGTGGCGTCCAGAATGATCATCTCTTGCCCACTGGTAGTGAGATGCATCTCCTCTGTGAGGCGGACCACTTCTTCCATCATGAGAAGAACCGTGGCCCTCCTCCCAGTCTCGGTAGCCAGCATGACTGGCTTATCTACTGTAGCTTCCTTCAATGGCCTGCCTAGCCGTGTGGTTTCTTTGTCATGATATTAACTGCTCCCTGGTAGCCGTCACTGGGGTGATTTCGAGGAGGTGCCGTTCATAGTCATGTCGTCCCTCAGAACACATTGCATCTCTTCTGTGAGCCCATCTTGGGCGGTAACCAAGGATAACGGGGCCATGAGCATGGTCGTTTTGGCTGGCCATAAGTCTGTCTGTAAGATACTAGCTTCAGGAAAGGCTCTGGGCTCCAGGCTGCTGCCACGCAGGCTCCCATGGAGTGGTTAGAGGCCTGGTCTGTGTGCTTTTTCCAAACTCCACTATGTCTCTTCACCCTCAAATGCATAGGCATGACTGCTGCCCGATTCAAATGCAGTGCAAGACTCCCAAGTCCTGCCATGGAAAATGCCCGCCTGCTTGGGGCCACCCCTGTGAGCCGTCCCCCTGCCCCCCCCCCTTCCCACAAAGGGAAACCACGCTCACTCAATCCCACAGAGTTTTGATGAAGATAAAAGAAAGTAAGACAGAGGCAATGCTGAAAATGGGATATAGTAAGTGCTCAATTAAATTAGCCCTTCCTCACCTCCTCCTCTTCTCCTTTTCTTCTCCTCCTCTTTCTCCTGTTCCATTTCCTCCTCAGAGAAACATGAATTACCTGGTTCTTATTGTCTTGGCTGCAGATAATCCAAAGCTGGTAGCCAATGTGGGGGCATAGCCAGGGTAACGACCAGGTCTCCCGGACTCCTTCCCGGCATCAGTTCACCCCACTTTACCCTTGTCTTGTATTCTGACCCGTGGTGTGATCTGGGGCAGGTTGAATCTATGCTACTGGGCCTCCCTTCCCACATCTGTACCCTGCGGTAGTAGCAGGAACCAAAAGTAGGTTGACCGACAATCCCAGCTGGTCCCAGACTTGGAGTGTGAGGACCCGGGACACTGGACTTTGGGTGCTAACACCCTGAGGGCCCTGGAAAAAGACTTGTTCACCTCACCTTGCAGTGTTTTTGTGGAGACTGTAGAAAATGCGTGAAAGGGACCGACGAAAGGAAAGTTCTGGTTATACTTTAAAAGCTCTCTGCTTGCCCTAACCAGTTTGGCTCGGTAGATAGAGCGTCGGCCTGGGGACTGAAAGGTCCCAGGTTCAATTCCAGTCAAGGGCATGTACCTTGGTTGCGGGCACATACCCAGTAGGGGATGTGTAGGAGTCAGCTGGTCGATGTTTCTCTCTCATCGATGTTTCTAACTCTCTATCCCTCTCCCTTCCTCTCTGTAAAAATCAATAAAATATATTTAAAAATAAATAAATAAATAAAAGCTCTCTGCCTCTCTAAGCCACTTTTTTTGCTTAGGTTAATGAAGTGACCACCAGTTAAGTTGTTTTGCTCATGATTGAGCATCGTGTGTGTCTCAGATGGGCTGCTGAAGTGGCCTTTGGCCTGTTCTCCCGCCTTCCTGCCCTCCCAGCAGCGGCCAGATAGCACCTGTGAGCATCTGAGTTGGTCTTGTCCTTCCTCTGCCCAGAGCCCTGTAGGGCTCCCACCTCCCTCAAGGTAGAGCCAAAATTCTCCCCAAGGCCCACCAGACCCTGCATGACCTGCCCCATCCCTTCCCCGCCCTCACCTCCTCCCTCCCTCCCTCTGCTCCAGCCACATGGGCCTCATTGCTGTTCCTCCAACACACCAGGCCCAGTCCTGCCTCAGGACCTTTGCATATACTGGGCCTTTTACCTGGGATGCTCTTGCCCTGTCTAAACACCTGGATCCCTCCAGCATTATCTTTGTGTTTCAGCCCATGTGTCATCTTCGCAGCGACTACCCTATTTTTGACATTGTATGACTCACCCGCTCCTCTCTGGATTATCCGCTCTGTGATGGTTGATAATTTTGTGTGTCTTGTTCCACTGTTGAGTCTACCATGCCTAGGAGAATCCCGGCATATAGTAGGTATTTGTATTAGTCAGGGCTCTCCAGAGAAACAGAACCAACAGGGTGGACATCTATATATCTTGATATATGCATTCATATATGTAAAGATATACTACAAGGAGTTGGCTCACTTGGTTACAGCAGTTGGCAAGTCCCAAGATCTGCCGGGTGAGGTGCACAGGTCCTGAGTCAGGAAAGGACTTGGGGAACCGAGCAAAGGTGAGCACAGCTGATGGGACAGGGCGGGAGATGAGCTGGAGAGGTTGGCAGGTGCTCAGGCTCAGGGGAGTGGGCTGCTGTTCTGGTTGGCAGCAGACTTGAGCTGGGCAGATAGCGCTAGAGGAAGAAAGCTTTGGGGATCTGAGCGGGGAGACCGCAAGTGGCGATGTGCCGGAAGTCTGCAGAGAGAAAGGTTGGCTCTGCAGATGAAAGAGGAAGCTGGAAATGAGAAGAAAGATACAATCTGAGTGCAGGAAAGGGAAATAACAAAACATTTGCAGAAGGCAAAAAACCCCGGTTCTCAAGATCCGAATCATGATAATTCATCTATGACGTTTTCATAGCACTTTTCATAAAGAGCTTTCCTGTGATATCCCATCCTACCTACCAGTTGATGTCAGCAATATTGTTGACCCCTCTCTTTCTTTCATGCCCCCTACCCAACCCACTGGCAGATCCTATTGGCGTTAACTTCAGAATAAATCCAGAATCTCTTGCTTCCCGCTGCTCCCACCGCTCACCTGGACAAGCGCAGACGCCTCCTGCCTTGTCATACTGCCTCTGGCCCTCGCCAGTTCACCTTTCCCCACCAGTGGCCAGAAGGTCATGTACAACCTGTCATGTTGCTCCCCTCCCCTGCTCTAAACTCTCCCGGGGCTCCCATCTCTCTCTGATAGAAAGCTGAAGCTTTACCATGGTCTAGCACTGTGGTCGGCAAACTCATTAGTCAACAGAGCCAAATATCAACAGTACAACGATTGAAATTTCTTTTGAGAGCCAAATTTTTTTAAACTTAAACTATATGGGTAGGTACATTGTTATTAACTTAATTAGGGTACTCCTAAGGCTTAGGAAGAGCCACACCCAAGGGGCCAAAGAGCTGCATGTAGCTCCCAAGCTGCAGATCCTACATGATCTGGCCATCCCTCATCTGCTCTGCTCCAACCACACCAGCCTCCTTGGAATTCCATGAAATCGTCCTTTATCCTTGCCTTTTCCTCTGCCTTAATAGCTCCCTAGCCCACTCACTCACCTCCTTCAGGTCTTTGCTCTGATGTGACCTTCTCAGTAAGGTCTTTATGACTGAGCAACAACTGTGTACCAGGCACTGTTCTATGCATTTAGGACACGGCAGTAAACGAGACACAAACCGCTGCCTTCTGGGAGCTCACAGTCCATCAGGGCAACAGACTTGAAACAACCAATTCTATAGGTTTTTCTATAGAATTGTCTTAGAAAGGGCATGAAAATGTCTTCCATTTCCAGCCAGACTTACTTCTTCTTGCGTAGCAGTGGTGGAAATCATGCACTTTGGGGGGTTGACAGGCCTGGCGCTGCCACTTACCAGCTGTGTGTCCTTGGGCAAGTCACTTAACCTCTCTGAGCCTGTTTTCCACATCCATGCAGTGGGAATTGGATCAGTTTCCTGTTGCTGCTGTAACAAGTGACCACACACTTGGTGGCTTAACGCAACAAGAACATTATCTTACAGTTCTGGAGGCCAGAAGTCCAACATGGGTCTCATTGGGCTGAAATGAAGGTGTCCGCAGGGCTGAGTTCCTTTCTGGAGGTCCTGGGGGAGAATCTGTTTTCTTGCCTTTTCCAGCTGCTAGAGATCAACTGTATCCCTGGGCTCGTGTCCCCCTCCTCCATCTTCACAGCCACCAATGGCTGGCTGAGGCTGTCTCTCATTGCATCACTTTGACTCTGCCTCTCCTGCCTTCATCCTTCACTTATAAAGACACTGTGATTACATTGGCTCCTCCTCGATAATCCAGGATGACCTCCATATCAAGGTCATGTGATCAGCAATCTTAATTCTATATGCAACCTTAATTCCCCCATTTTGTGTAGCATAACATATTCACCTGGTCCAGGGATGGGACGTGGTCATCTTCAGGGAAGCCATTATTCTGCTGACCACAGGAATGATAACATCAAGTGAGCGTCTTCCTTAGCACCTGGAGTCTGCTTCTGTCTGTGGCTTTGTCCTCCTGGATCTCAGTGTGGCGAAGAGCTAACCCCACAAATAACTGAGCAATTACAATTGTAATGAATGTCACAAAGAAGGAGCACACGTAGCTATGGGGAGTCAGGGAAGGCTTCTTGAAGGAAGTGACATTTAAGTAAGACCTGAAGAATAAATAGGAACTGGTTAGGCAAAGCAGAGGCAAAGGGAACAGCATGTGCAAAGGCCCTGTGGTGGGAAAGCTAGAAATGGAGACTGACATGAGATGAGGCTTAAAGATGTGGTTGGGTCTAGTCACTGGGGGCTATTTGGGTCATGTTAAATAATTTAGATTTTAATTCTGGGTGCAACAGGCAGGATTACAGGGAGGGGTGGGGTGGATAATCAAATTTGCACACAGAGATGATTGCAGGGCACGATGAGGGATGTAGGACTAATTGTACAATCCAGAGGAAGATCTATACCCAACATAACCGTGGGGATGGAGAGAAGTGAGTAGATGCAGTGAGAATGATAGTTGGGAGGGAGAGGGAGAATCAACATGGGAGAGACTCACTAAATGTGAGGGTGAAGGCTACACAGGGAAACTGAGGTACAGAGGTGAAATCACGTGTTCCAGGGCTGGATTGGCTAAAGTGTATCTCAGGCCTCCTCTGACCTGCTGAATCAGCATCTGATATCCTAAGCTCTCCTGGGGATCCCAGGTGAGGCAGAGGCTGCTGATCTGCGACCATACTTGGAGTAGCAAGGGTCCAGGTCAGTGCATCTCACACTTTCATGGGTCCACTGATCATTCGGGGATCTTGTTACAGTGCGGGTTATGATGCAGCAGATCTGGGCAGGGCCTGAGATTCTGCTTCCACCAGGCTTCGTACTGGTGCCACTGGCCATGGACCACACTTTGAGAAAGAAGGGTCCTAGATCTTCAGGGTCCTTGATGAGCACTCTTGGTCACTGTGTCAGTTTCTCAGGGCTGCCGTAACAGGATAGAGATTTATTCTCTCACAGGTCTGGAGGCCAGAAGTCCAAAATCCAGGTGCTTCCTCTGAAGGCTCCAGGGGGAGAATCTGTTCTCTGCCCCTCTCCCAACTTCTTCTGTTGCCAGCATTCCTTGGCTTGTAGACCCATCACTCTAATCTCTGCCTCCGTCATCACATGGTCCTCTCCCTATGTCTCTGTACCTCTCCTCCATTTCTTAAAAGGACACCAATCGCCCTAGCTGGTTTGGCTCAGTGGATAGAGCATCGGCCTGCGGACCAGAGGGTCCCAGGTTCGATTCCAGTCAAGGGCACATGCCCAGGGTTGTGGGCTCGATCCCCAGTAGTGGGCGTGCAGGAGGCAGCCAATCAATGATTCTCTCTCATCATTGATGTTTCTCTCTCTCCCTCTCCCTTCTTCTCTGAAATACAAATATATATTTTTTTATTTTTTTTTTATTTTTTATTTTTATTTTTTATTTATTTATTTTTAAAAATATATTTTATTGATTTTTTACAGAGAGGAAGGGAGAGGGATAGAGAGTTAGAAACATCGATGAGAGAGAAACATTGATCAGCTGCCTCCTGCACATCTCCCACTGGGGATGTGCTCGCAACCCAGGTACATGCCCTTAACCGGAATCAAACCCGGGACCTTTCAGTCCGCAGGGCGACGCTCTATCCACTGAGCCAAACCGGCTTCGGCCAAATATATATTTTTTTAAATAAAGGACACCAATCATGTCAGATTAAGGGACCATCCTACTCCAGTATGATCTCATCTTAACTCACATCTTTTTTTCTTTTTTGCTATAGTATTCCATTTTAATATTTAATGCTAACTCACATCTTAATGACATCTACAAAGACCCAATTTCCAAATAAGTTCATGTTCTCAGGGTCCAGGATTTAGGACTTCAATATCTTCACAGGGGACCCAAAAACAGTTGCCTTCTTGTTCTCCCACTGGTTTTCCCTGCAGCTCCACTCTGGTGCCGTAACACAGGATCTTCTTTTTCTGCTGCCTAGATACGAATGAGTGTTGGGACACCACCACGTGTCCAGCTTATGCCATCTGCACCAACACTGTGGGAAGTTACTACTGTACTTGTAAACGAGGCTTCCTGTCCAGCAACGGACTGACACAGTTCAGAGGCCCAGGGGTGGAATGCAAAGGTGAGTGCACACCTCCTCAAAATCCTCTAGAAAGTTAGGTGGAAGCTGGCAGATGTAGGTACTTTGTTCCTTCCCCCCAAACATTATTTCCTCCCACCTTCCTTTTCCTCCCTTCCTTCCTTCCTTCCTTCCTTCCTTCCTTCCTTCCTTCCTTCCTTCCTTCCTTCTTCCTCATTCATTCTCTCTCTCTCTCTCTCTCTCTCTCTCTCTCTCTCTCTCTCTCTCTCATGAAAATGATTCCTGGTCATTAACATTTTCAATGATTAGAGATTAGAATTACAATAAATAAAAATAAAGAACATGCTATTTATCAATATCCACTGATCTCATGTTGGGGACCCTTCTTCTGCCTCTCCATGTAGATAATAAGATTTTCTAACACCTATTGAGTGCCAGGCCCTGTGAAAGGGCTTTAGGTGCATTTCCCCATGTAATCGAGTGTAGCAGTGGGATGCGTCTCCATTGGAAAGATGAGGAAATTGAGGCTCCAAGAGCTGAAATGACTTGTGTAGCGTCATGCAGTTGAAATGAAATTCAAACCCAGGTCTTTCTGACTCTAGTGGCGGTCTCTTCACACATTACTTATTTGCCACACTCTAGTTGTGAGGTGTTGGGGAAATGAATTTAATCTCTCCAAGCCTCAATGTTTCTATCTGTAAAATAGGTACTAGTATTTAAGAGCATCTACCTCCAAGGATAGTTGGGAAGAATAAATGCAATAATGTTTGCAGTGTGCTAGGCACATATACAATTCCAAGAGCTACTATTAACATAAATAATATAAACTCAAATAGTTCCCAGAATGAGCTAAGTTCTTTGTCTGCATTTCTTATATTTAGACCCCAATTCTCCTCTTGGCAATAAAGATCTGTCTGTGCCTTTGAATAAGATCAGGGGTCTGTAAACTTTTTCTGTCTGGGGACAGATATTTTGGAGGTTGTAAGCCTTACAATCTCTGTCATGACTACTCAATGCTCCAGCTGTATTGCAAAAGCAGCCGTAGATGATACATAAATGAATGGATGTGACTGTGTGCTAATAAAACTTTCTTTACACAAAATGGATGTGGTGGACTGAATTTGACCCGTGGGCTGTAGTTGGCTGAATAAGATAAATCATTTCTATCATTATAGTTCCCAGGGAGCCCCAGCCATCTTTCTTTATGCTATAGTTCATGGATTATTCAGTGAGCTCAGTAGTACTGATGGGCCCTGGTTTTTAAATTTGCGGTGAAATGAACATTCCTCATCTAGAAAGTGATGGATACTACAGCCGGGATTTTGTCCACTCTGTGTCTGTGACCCCCCCAGTACAATGCATCAATAGATATTTGTCAAATGAAGGAACATGTTCTTCTTTATGTCATCTCCAGATTTTATCATCCTGTTATTGACACTTAGGTTGTTTCTAAAGTTTTATAACTTCAAGCAAAGCTGAGATGAATATCCCTGTGATCTTATCTTGGCGGACAGTGGAGTTCCAGATTTCTCTTTAGGAGAGGTGCAATTTGCCAGGAGAGAGCTATAGGAGATTTGCCTCGAAGTTTTATTTGCATGAAGGTACATAGCAAGTGTTTGTTTAGGGTGGCTTGATAGAGCAGGGCTACCCCATGGTACCACAATTGCACAATTCAATGGGTGCTTCAATGAGTAAGTTCCTAGAGGTGGTTTTGCAAGGTGTTCTCGACTGGGTAATAGACAACTGCAAACTTAGTGCCTAAAACAATAACAATCATTTACTTTGTTCATGAATGAATCCACAATTGGGGTTGAGTTTGGTGAGGACAGCTTGTCTCTGTGCCACACAGTGTCAGTTGAGTTGGCTCATGTGGGAGTTAGAGGACCCACTTTGAAGAGGGCCCACTCACATGGCTGGCAAGCTGGTGCTGGCTGTTGGCTGGCTGCTCCACCAGGCCTGTGGGCTGGAGGTCTTAGTTCTTCTCCACGCGGGCTGCTTTTTCATGGCTCGTTGGGCTTCCTCACAGTATGGCGGCTGAGTTCTAAGAATGAGTATCTCAAGAGAACAATGCATGCTTTTTTTTATAACCTTGAGTGTCACTTCCTCCATAGTCGAAAGCATGCTCAGATTCACGGGGAGGGAACATAGACCTGCTGCTTGATGAAAGGAGTACCAAATTCGCACTAAATGAAGGGCATAAGGAATGGAAGACTTTATAACCATCTTTGAAAATAGTCTTTTATACAGGATGAGGCAGATTTGTAACTCTGGCTCTTTCTCTGTCTAGATGTAGATGAATGTTCTTCAAGTCCCTCAAAATGTGGTCCTAACTCAGTCTGCAAAAACCTGCCGGGGAGGTACAAGTGCAGCTGCTTGCCTGGTTTCTCTTCTCCCACTGGGGATAACTGGAGCCCGGAAAAGCCCGGCCATTTCTCCTGTACAGGTAATGCTCCTGGGCTCTGCATGGGTCTTTGGCGGCTAGCTACCACTGAGTTGGGCACATGCGTATTTAACCTTGGACAGCCAGTCTTCTGTCTGCTCACTCTCCTCTGCTGCTCCGCAGACATCGATGAATGCCTCGACAGTGGAGTCTGCCCAGAGCATTCTGAGTGTGCCAACTCTTTGGGAAGCTACAGTTGCCACTGCCAAGATGGATTCATCTTTAACAACTCTCTCTGTGAAGGTATGGAAGACCGGCTCTTCTTCATTTACCTACTTAACGAAGCATCACTTCATTTGATGATCCTATGAGATAGGGATGCTGATCCTCATTTAAGACTGAGGAAATGGAAGTTCAGAGAGATGAAGTCACTTGCTCAAGGACACACAGCCATTAACGTGGAAGAGCTGGGATTTGAACTCCGTTGAGATCTTACGATGAATTAAGCAGTGGGGTCAGGAAGTACTTGAGAGTATGGGAGGCTCTCAAGTGCTCTTTCTCCCAGGGGACATTGGCCATGTCTGAAGACATTTTTTATGGCCACAACTGGTGGTGATGATGGGGTTGTGTGTGCTATTGTCATCGAGAGGGTAAGGCGCATTACAAAGCACAGGACAGCTTCCCATAATCAAAAACCATCTGATGGTGGGCAACGGTGCACTGGCCACCATAACAAGAAATTAGCTTCAGGCTGAAGAACGAAGCAGGCAACTCCATAGAGTATGACAGAATTTATTACAGATTACTTACTTATGGGAAGATTAGATCAGAACAGCCAGTCCGCACAGATTATTCCCCACTTCCAGACCCCTGTTCCAGTGCTTTGGTATAGTATAACTCAGGCCATAATGATTGACAAGAGAAAGGGACAAAGAATGCAGTACAGCAATGCCAGGGGCCATACCTCCTTGTGGTCTTGTGACAGATGGCCAGTTTGATATTTGTCTTGGTTGTCATGGCATTCTGGCCATTACTAACAAAAATATTTGTGGCTACAGTTTAAGGAACATAGATATTCATCAACTAGAAGGCTTTGATCTGCTTGCTAAGGACAGTGAGGTTAATCACAGCATGAAACTTAAAATGAAATGAGATCTGGACGCAAAAATGGAGTTGGTTTTGTTCACACCTACCTCCCTATGAAAATGATCCCGTCCCAAATGTCAGTGGTGCTAAGGTAGAGACACTCTGTTGTAGGGAGACCCAAACTTCAGCACTTTCTCCTAAAAGGTGTTTAAATTAAGACCTGAGAGTTTCCCTTGATCCTCTGTCTCCTTCCATATTGAATCAGTCATCAGTCTTGGGTGACTGACCTGGTAAATGGTCTGGAATGTCTCCATTCTTCCCCATCTTTGGTCCAAACACCATATGGTTTACAGCAGTCTTGGTCTTGCTCTTTGATTCTGTCCCCACATTGCAGTCAGAATGTTCTCACCAAGGGCAGGGAGTCTGTATTCTCCATGTTCATTTGGAGAGAGTGGCTGCATGACATGCTCAAACCTCATTATATTCTCTTGCCTTGGAGTCAGAGACATTTGAAGTCAGTCCATTTGTAGCAGTTAGCTATTGCTGACTAACAGATGACCCCGAAAGTCAGTGGCTAAAAACCACCTCATTTATTTAACTCTCAGTTCCATGTCTTGGCAGTTGAGGTTGGGCTTTGCTGGCCAGTTCTTTGGGTCTCAACTGGAGTTGTTCGTGGGTCTGCGGTCAGCTGGGGGTCAGTTTTGCTGATCTTGGCTGGGCTGTCCACCTATCTGGGGCCATCCATCTCTCTTCCACTTTGTCTTTTATTCTTCGTTAGGCCAGCCTAGGGTTTGTTCATATGGCAGAAGCCACAAGAATGAGCAGAAACAAACAACCCTCTATAGCAGTGGTTCTCCACCTTTTGGCCCTTTAAATACAGTTCCTCATGTTGTGACCCAACCATAAAATTATTTTCGTTGCTACTTCATAACTGTAATGTTGCTACTGTTATGAATCGTAATGCAAATATCTGATATGCAGGATGGTCTTAGGCGACCCCTGTGAAAGGGTCGTTCGACCGCCAAAGGGGTCGCGACCCACAGGTTGAGAACCGCTGCTCTAGAGGTATAAGTTTGGAACTGGCACCACATCGCTTTCACTGCATTCTATTGGCCAATGCAAGTCACTGGGCCAGCTAGAGCCAGGGGTGGGGGAACAACTCCACATCTTACAGAAAAAGAGTGGCAGAGCCCACATCCCAGGGTGTAGGTACAGGGAGCAGTGAAAGACCATGAACACCTCTGTAATCTATGATTGTTATGTTTTAAAACTATTTGCCACCCTTTTGTTTACACACTGTTGGCCAACATTTATTCTCCCCAAGCGCATCTCACTGCCCAGGATGTGAGGAAGAAGGGGGAATATGGGTATTGGGGAGCAGCAGCACTGTGTGCCACCTGTTAGGAACATATAGAGGGGGTCTCCTGCTTGCAATCTCCTGTCCTCAATTCCTCACCTGCCTTGATCTGGGTTTTCATTTCCACTCATTAGATGTGGATGAATGTGCCGATCCCAGAGCTTGCCCGGAGCATGCGACCTGTCACAACGGTTTTGGAAGCTACTCTTGTGTCTGCAACTCAGGATTTGAATCCAGCAGTGGAAACAGGAGTTTCCATGGCCCAGGAGGAATGTGTGAAGGTAGGTGGAGGGGTCTTTTGGTGATCCAGGTCCTGTTTGCAAAGACAGCAGTGGTGGGGCAGGAATCAGGGTGGATCTCAGCTGAGTTCAAAGCCCTCATCTACAAAGGGGAAGCCAATCATAATTCATTTTTTCTTTCATTCACTCATGCATTCACTCAACAAATACTTCTGGAGCACCTACTTTATGTGAGGCACTATTCTAGGGATGGTAGATACAATGGTGAGAAACACCGGCAAAAATATTTATTTTCCTGTAACTTTTCATCTCATGTGGAGGGAGACAGGTAACAAAAATAAATGCACGTATCTATTGTGTGTCTGGAATAGTTAAAGGAAATGAAGACAAATAAGGCAGGGAAGGCAGATAGTGCTGGAGAAGATTTCTAATTTTATTAGAGCAAAGGCCACAATTAGAAGTGGGTATTTGAGAAAGATCTGAAGACACTGAGGGAGTGAGATATTGGGTATCTGGGGAAGGGTGTTCCAGGCGGAGGGAACAGCAGGTACAAAGGCCTGGAGGCAGGCTCTCAGCCAAGGCCCGAAGCTCTTCCATATGTGACCTCCTTCGGTCTTCCCAAGTGATATTTTATACTCATTTTTGAGATGAGAAAACAGAGCCCCCATTGTGGCGGAGTCACTCTTCCAATGTCAAATAGGCAGGAGTTAGGAGGGTCAGCACCTGAGCTGTGCCTAGGTTCACATCCAAGATGTCCTGCCCTCCAACCCTCCACTCTGATACATCTTAGTTGTTATTATTATTAATAATATAGTGATTCCTTGGAGAGGGGCTGGCATTCACCAGGGAAAGAAGGAGTGGATGAGTTTGAGTTCTGAGGGAACACAGGTGAGAGAGAAGAGTCTTCATGAACCTGCAGGTCATCAACGAATCTGGATCCCTCGTTATACAGGGAGTAGAAGCAGAAGATGAGGGAGGTGAGCTTAGCCGGGAGCAGGTTCTCAGGGTCTCGTTGGTTCTAAGGAGGAGTTTGGGTTTTACCCTGAGCCATGGGAGCCTCTGGTTGTGTGGCTCATAGACATGCATTTGAATGCTTCCCTCCATAGCAATGAAAACGTGTGTAAGAAGGTGAGACAGGGCCAGGGAAACCCCTTGGCTCTGTCCCTGGTGGGCTGTGTACTGCTGTTATAGCCTCAGCTTCCTTCATCTTTATGACTTAGACCAATTTTCTGCTTAGATGTGGATGAATGTTCCAGAAACTCGACTCTTTGTGGTCCCAATACTGTCTGCACCAACATCCCAGGAGACTACAGTTGCTCCTGCCTGCCTGGGTTCATTTCGCCTGAGTTTTGGACCCCCAAGCAACCAGAGGCTTTCAAATGTACAGGTAATTCTCCCGGCCGTGAGGTGGACTTCTCAACGGTTGTCAAATGACCCTGAGACGCAATGGCATATAGCAACAACCCTTTGTTCTTGCTCGTGATGTTACAGGTTGGCCACATGGGTTTTCTGGGGTGCCAGGATGGCTGGCAGATCTGAAATGGCCTCATTTGTGTGGCTGGTAGTTGGTGCTGGTCTCTGGCTGGGAGCTTAGTTGGGCCCCTAATTTTCATCGTGGGCCTTTCCACATGGCTGCTTAGGCTTCCTCATGGCATGGCAGCTGGTCTCCAAGAAGGAACATTCAAAGGGGCAGAAAGCAGAAATGCCAGTTCTCATAAGGCCTGGGCTCGGCAGTTTTCTAGCACTTTCTATTGGCCACAGTCGGGGCCAGCCTAGGTTCAGAGGAAAGAGAAATAAACACCCATCCCTCTGGGGGAACATTGGGAGGGAATACTTCCACTGCATACAGGAAGTGAAAGGGTTAATGGAGGCCGTCCTCAGTGTATCGGCTACACTGCAGAACACATTTTATATTCCTCAACCCCCAGGGGAAATCATGCTTCTTTTAATTAGTCTATTTCTTCTTATTGATCTGCACTAGATGCTGACATTGTTAGAAGCAGAACAGTAGAGCAATAAAATCGAAAGGGACCTTAGAGAGGGTAATACAGCTCTAATGGCTCCTGGGAGCCTATTCAGAATCCCGATCAAGGGCAAGAAAGCCAAACCATGGCCTTCCACCCCACTTTTCTTCACACTATCACCTCTTTCATTTGTCTTACCTACTCAGGTTTCACTTCACAGGAACAAAGGTTCTCTTGGCCCAAAAGTTTTGAAATTCATGCGCAAGTCCAGCTCCATATGCAAAACATAAATTCTCTCTCTGCCATTTCTGACAAGAGCTTGCCTAGTCAAGGCTTCAATGTGTCTGGAAATGGGAAGCTCACTCTTTGGTTAGAGATGTTTTCTGTAACACCAAGAAGAATACCACTTCCCCATGCTTTCCAGCTGTGGGCCACTTCCATGCCTTTGATGACTCCAAATTAGTCTACTTTCTTAGCATAAGGACATCTTGTCCCAGTTCTCCATGGTAATGTCCAGTGCAGTGTGCCACATACCTGCTTCAGTGACTAGTGGATGCTGCTTGTTTATTCTTTTTTTGTTTTTGTTTTGTTGTTGTTAATCCTCACCTGGGATATTTTTCCATTGAATTTTAGAGAGAGTGGAAGGGAGGGGGAAAGAGAGAGAGAAAAACATCTATGTGAGTGAGACACATCAATTGGTTGCCTCCCACACACATCCAGACTGGGTCCAGGGATTGAGCCTGCAACTGAGGTACATGCCTTTGACTGGAATAGAAACTTTGACCCTTCAGTCTGAGGGCTGAAGCTCCAATCATGGAGCCAAATCAGTTAGGGCAATTCTTCATGTTTTGTGATGACTCCTAATTCTTTTTTCTAGGGCATTCAATTCCATATATCCTCTGTGGTTCAGAAACCCTCAGAGGGAGAGGTAACCCTGTGTTGCCATGGTGACCTGACACCACTCTCTATTTGTTAGGATAGAGTTTCTCAACCTTTGCACTATTGACTTTTTGGGCTCAATAGTTCTTTGTGTGTGGGGCTGTCCTGTACATGGTAGGATGTTTGGCTTCTACCTACTATATCCCAGTAGCACCCCCTCCCCGAGTCTTGACAATAAAACATGTCTCCAGACATTGCCCAGTGTTCCCTGGGGAGGCAAATTTCCCCCAGCTGAGAACCACTAGCTTAACACAGAAATTTTTTATGCTCATAACAATCCAATATGGATATACTGGGCCAATGGGCAGCCTTCCTCTACAAGGTGATAATAGGGGTCCAACCTCCTGGCATCTCTTGCCTTTTCTATCCCTTAGGACCTTGGAATCCCTGGTCCCAGCCAGTGGTGGGGCAAGAGAGAGAGGGCACACCCACTTCTTGGTCATATTGGCCCAGAAGTGACAAATGTCATATCTTTTCACATTCCACGAGTGAAGACTGGCCACACTGATACCCAACCCAGGTTCAGCTGCCTACCACTGAAAGTCAGTAATGAAGAGACAAGGGTTGGTGAAAGGAAAGTAGTTTATTCAAGAGCTGGCAGCCCAAGAAGATGGTGCACTTAGGTTGCAAAGACCATCTTAACAATTGGACACAGGCAGTGGTTTTTGTAAGGAGAGAGGAGGAATTACAAAAACAAAACAAACAAACAAAAAACCAGAACAGAACAAAGAAATCGGAAGTAGGGGGTTCAGAGTTCTCCATTGACGGGACTACGTGCAAGTCAGCACAGTCTGTACAGATAACTGATCGAAGCTCAGCAAATCTCCCAGAACCGGAAGATCTGGAGGTTGGGGTTTGCTTCTTTTGAAGTTAGTTCCTAGAATTCTTAAACAAACAGGCTGTTTAACTATTATATGTTAGTTGACAGGTCATCTTTTACAGAAACAATGTTAAAAGAATGTTGGGGTGGGTTACTACATGGTCCCGCCTAGATGCCGAGGATTCTGGGAAATGTAGTCCTGTTTGGGCTGCCATTATTTAAATGACAACTCATGTTTCAGAATGGGAAGCATGACTTTTGTTGGATTGCTGGCCAACTCTGCTTCACGCCCTTTCTCCACTACACAGATATTGATGAGTGCCTGGATATGTGCCCTTTCAATGCAACATGCACCAATACCCTTGGGAGCTACTTTTGTACCTGTCACCCTGGCTTTGCACCAAGCAATGGACAGCTGAACTTCACAGAGCAAGAGGTGGAATGTGGAGGTAAATGGAGGGTTGCGTGGACATCCCTGGACAAAAATTAATCTCCTTGTTCCTTTGGTTGTTTGATATTCTCGAGTTCTTTGCAGATATTGATGAGTGTGTGCAAGATCCATCACCATGTGGCCCCAATTCTGTCTGCACCAATGCCCTGGGCTCCTACAGCTGTGGCTGCATGGTGGGCTTCCGCCCCAATCCGGAAGGCTCCTGGAAATACGGCAACTTCAGCTGCAAACGTAATCATCTCCTTGTGTGTCTTGGCAATGGAATCTGTGTCTTGCTCACTCTGCCCAACCTCTGGATCCTTTTCTTACTTTCACCTCATCCACATGTTCTCTCTTTATTCATTCATTCATTTACTACACATTCATTAATTCCCCCATTCAATACATTATTTTCAGAACATCTATTAATTAGTTAATGAATCAATCTGACCCGGACACTAAGAATTCAATCCTGGACATGATGGACATGATACTTGCCCTCACGTAGCTTATAGTCTAGGGAAAAAAGCAGAGAGTACATAAATAATTATTTAATGACCACGATGAATATGACCATTGAAAAATCTTAGAACACTTTGGAGTGACTAATGGGCTATTTAATATGTTTGGGGAAAATAGCATTTCAGCTGAAGCTTGAAGGAAAAGTAGGAATTATCCAGATGAAGGGTGACGATCACACTCAAAGGCCCTGAGGCTAACACAGAGAAAGGGCAAGAGAAATGATATTGCATCTGAGAAGGTGGGCGGAGGTCAGATACTGCAGGATCTTGTGAGCCGTGCAAACAATTTTGCAGTCTTCTTTGCCAAGAACAACGGGAAACCAGAAGAGGTTTAAAAATGTTAAATGCTGGATTCTTTGGGATGTTAGAAATATAAGTGACTTACATGGAAGCAATGAAGTACAGTAATAAAATGACTCTATCAGAGGCCATTGTCAACATAAGTAGAATATCATTGATGTCCTTGCTTCTTCCCCATTCCACATCCCTGTCTCTGCCCCAGAGGGAATCCCCTTGAACTTGTGTTCATAATTACCCTACTTAAATAAAGATTTCTTCCCTTGTATATATTCCTAAACAATGCCTTGCTTAGATTTGTTGGTTTTGGAGCTTTATAAAACATCTCAGAGTCTCTGATATGGTGGTGTATAGTTTGCTTGTTTCCACTGTTGCATAATATGGCAGTGGATGGACTTTCAGCAGGGCATGACGTAATCAGACTTGCTTCAGTCATATCTTGCTGTGGTTAAGTCTGATTTGGTTGCTTTTGTTTCATTCCTAGGAGTTCCCTTCAAGTGTAAAGAAGATGTGATCCCCAACAATAAACAGGTCCTGCTATGCCAAGTGGGAACAGCAGTGGAGCCTGAGGATGTAAGTATTTTTGAAGGTGTTTTTTATTTTTGTTTGTTTTTTTAAGATTTTTTAATTGATTCTTAGAAAGGCAGGAAGGGAGAGGGAGAGGGAGACAAGCATGGATATGAAGCGTAACACCGATCAGCTGCCTCCTGCACGCCCACTGGGCATCGAGCCCACAACCTGGGCATGTGCCTTGACCGAGAATCAAACTGGCAACCTTTTGGTGCATGGGATGAAGTCCAACCAACCGAGTTTTCCCGGGAGTCAATTAAGTAGGATATTGTTTGCACCTTTAACAAAGGTAAAAATAGCTGTGCCCCAAAACAGACAGCAGTTTGTTTCTTTCTTTATAACAGTCTGAGTGTAAGCTGCTGAGAGCTGATATGGCTCCATAATGCTCTGCCATCATTAATACAAGACTCCCTCACTGTGGTCCAAGATGGCTACTGCAGCCCCTGTCATCACGTCTGCATTCCAGCTGGTGGGCAGGGGAGAACGGAAAGTGAAAGGCACTATCCTTCCCTTTAAGACTATGATGCAGTATCACCTCTGCTTGTACCTCATTGGCCAGACATTAGTCACTTGGTCACAGAGCCAAAGGGAAAGTCTAGGAGGGAGGGCACTTGCTTATTTAAAACTTGGGGATTCTTTTACTAAAAGAAGAAGAGATGTTGGGCGGGACTCACGACCAGTAAAGGTGTTGGGGCTGTATGTGTGTGACAGAAGACGGGTGTGGCACAGCCCCCAGGCCAGCCGAAGAGGAATGTGGACGTCCTGGCTCTCTAATGAAGTCATTGTCATTGTAGTGGGTCAAGCCTTCATAAGCATTTGCAGGGACCGAGGTCACTACCTTAAATCCGAGCTTGGACATTAACTTAGGATTCCCATGCACTTTGGACCACTGTTTTTTGTTTGTTTGTTTAATTGTGGTAAAAACACACATAAGACTCAACATTTAAACCATTTTAAAGTGTACAATTGTTAAGCAAAATGATTCCCGGTACTTAATATGACAGTTGCTATCTAATGAAGCAAGTTGACCACCAATTCATCCTGGAATGTTCTTGCATAGAGAAGAGGGCCCATTAAGTTGTTTTCTGCTGTGGGTTAAATGGCCTTAACCAGCACAAACCACTGGCTAGGAGCCACTATTGTTCTTGGAGGCTGATGTATCAAACTCCTTCCCTTCTCTGTGCTGAGATCAGCCAGCTTGCTGCAGCCCACAGGTGCTGCTTCTGTCCATAGTTCCCCTGATAAACTCCTGAAGTCATGCTGGAGTTGTCAGTCTCTTGGACAACTTTCTCAGGAAATTTCCCCAAGAAATGGCGAGCCAGCCAGGAGACCGGGGCCATGGGAAAGGGGAAACAGCTTCCTGGGGGCCATCCTGGGTTGGCCCTTGATCTCTGTGTGGGGAGGGGTGGCCCCAGTGCTAGATGCTTGTGGCCACCTTGTGAGTATGGGGACCCTTGCAGATGCTGTGGGGCTGGAGCCCTGGCTTGCTGAGCATTATCTGGCCCCTTGTGTAAGGATAGCCCTTACCACAATGGGCCAGAAAATGCTTAACAATCAGAGAATACTCACTAGTTGAATTGCTAGATATTTTGGCTAAATTTCAACAAAAGTCACGAGAAAGCCTTTCAACTTGGATGGTGAGGTTTTGGGTCACAGGCTGATGGGCTCTCCCTCTCCTGGACTGAAGGAGAAAAAATGAGTAGATATCAGCAGTCCCCGGCACTAAGGCATATTCTGCAGGCCCAGGCCCAGGGAGATCATTCTTTAATGGATTGGATACCGGTGGGATGCAGAGGCCCTAGCCAAGTGAGGGAGACCTACCGGGACAAGCCAGTCCCTGGAAGTCCACTGAGGAGCCTCAAGATTTGTTGCAGGAAGTGAGAATGAGCCAGGCTCTCGGTGGCCAGGTGTTTGAGGGGCCCACAGAGCTGTATTCACTGCTAGTAGGAACAATCATCCTTTGCAGGCAGCCCCCAAAGGATGGTCCTTGATTTTCCCTTTTAAGTCCGTTAATTGGGCAAGGTAACTGATGTGGGGAATTCATGGCAGAGTTCGTTGAAACTGAACAGGGCCGAGATCAAGTCTGCCCTGTAACTCAAAAGGAGACTCAAGGGCGTCTGCACCCCAAAGAGTAAATCTAAGTATAAAGGGCCCATCTGTGTCCCAGGTAAACAGAGGTGTCATGATTTAGTAACAAGGGAACAAGACAGACGGCCTGATGCAGTTCTGGTGAAACCAGGGAAAAGGCTACGCCAAAACCAGCAGTTCCTGCCTCTCCCTTTGTCCCTTCCTTTGCCCTAACCTCAGCCCTAACACTAACCTACTTTCTATCTCCATCGATGTGCCTGTGCTGGACATGTCACATACATGGAATCACACACTGTGTGGCCTTTTGGGCCTGGCTTCTCTCTCTGAGCATCATGTGTTCAAGGTCCATCCATGTTGTAGCGAGTGTCAGGGCTTCACCCCTTTTTATGGCTGAGTGATATTCCATTTAGCCACTGATTGTTTCCACACATCTCCCCATCTTTTCACCCCACTATATAGTTTTGCTTTTATGTGTGTCTGATGTTTTATTCATGGAAGAGAAAAGTGCTGCGGCTCCAGTTCTGATCATATGGTGAGTTTGTATTTCCCTGAGGATTCTAGAGACTCATGACGCCTCAGGGACTGAGGGCCACCCCATGCAGTGGATGTGGTGGCCCAGTTTGTACCTTGAATGCGTGGGGGAGGGACAGATCCGTGCTCACAAATGCTCTTCCCTCTGGCACAGGTTTCGTTTTGTGCACTCATGAATGCCACCTTCAGCGTTCTGGATGAGAACTGTGCAAATAAAACCACTGCCGTTTCTCTGAAGGTAATGACGCCTTTGTCATTGTGTTTCATGGTTTGAATCTCTCAGGGGTGCAGAAAGTCCTCTTTATAATTGAGCTGTGAGTTCACATTTAATTTATGAAAGTTGTGATGCTTGAAAAGTTAACATAGAGTGAAAAACAGAACAAAGTAATAAAAGTTAACATACAGCAGAATTGCCCTTTTCTGGACAATTTTACATGTTTGATCATTACCTGAGTAGATGGGTGTAGCTACCACTACAATCAGAACCCAGAACAATTTTAATTCCCCACCCGCTACACTTACCCCCACACCCAGACTTCCTTGGGCTTCCCCTTTATAGTAGCATTCTCTGTCTACCACTGGGCTCAAAAAATCCCTGATCTGTTCTGTCATTATAGTTTTATCTTTTTAAAACATCATGTAAATGGGGTCACACATAGGAGCCCTTTGCATCTGGCTTTTTTTCACTTAGCACAGTACCTTTGAGAGTTGTTAATGTTGTGTTTATCGATAGCTCCATGCCCTTTTGGGGGGAACTACTAGTGACATTTAGCACATTCACATGGTTGAGCAAACATCACCACTACAGTTCTACTATAGTTCTAGAACATCTAGAACATCCTTACCATCCAAAAAGAAACTGCATAAGCATCTCTCCTCATTCGGCCCCGCCCCCCCCAACCCAGCAACCACTCATCTACTTCCTGTCCCTGTGGATGTGCCTGCTCTGGACATGTCACATAAATGGAAGCACACACTGTGTGGCCTTTTGTGTCTGGCTTCTCTCACTGAGCATCCTGTGTTCAAGGTCCATCCATGCTGCAATGAGTGTCAGTGCCTCACTCCTTTTCATGGCTGAGTAATATTCCCCTGTATGGCTGGGCCATAGCTTGTTTATCCACTCATCTATTTTTTTAAAAAAAATAGGGGATTGGATTACTCTTTAAAAATTATTTTATTTTTGTTAATCCTCACACGAGGATATTTTCCCATTGATTTTTAGAGAGAATGAAAGAGAGGGGGAGAGCCAGAGAAAAAGAAACATCGATGTCAGAGAGAAGCATACATGTGTGAGAGACACATCAATTGGTTGCTTCCCACTTGCCCCATCTGGGCCGGGGATCAAGCCTGTAACTGAGGTATGTGCCCTTGACTGGAATTGAACCTGGGACCCTTTAGTCCACCAGCCAATGCTCTAACCACTGAACAAAGCAGGCTAGGGCTAGAAAACACTCTCTTGATGAGAGAGGGAAGTTGCTATTTCATGGATGAGAGATACAGAGAGAGAGAAGAGACACACAGAAAAACAGGGAGACTGAGAGACAGACAGAGAGCGGGGAGAGGACAAGAAAAAGCAAGCAAACACCCCTTTCTTTGCAGAGTACGGCTGAGAGCTTTGCCTCTGTGCTCGAACAAACATCCACGTGGTCCAACTTCACCAAAGATGAGACATCCACGCTGGCCACTGTCTTACTGGAGAGTGTGGAAAGCACCGCTTTGGCAGCTTTTCTGAAACCCTCAACGAACGGCAGTCAGACTGTTCGGACGGAGCACTTGGGTAGGACATATCCTTCACGGCAAGGTCACACCTGGTGCTGGTTTTGAGGAGTGACTTTGGCGATGTGATTCTCCATATGCCATGTTCCCAACTGTCTCAAACATGTGAACTCATAGCAAAGCAACTCTAATCATAGTATCAACACTTCTCATGGACTGAGTGCTGGGCGCTGTGTGTGTGTTGCCAGGCACTGCGTCTGGAGTGTGTCATTAATTCACTCAATAAGCACTTGCAAAGTGCCTGCTCTATGCCAGGTGTTAAGGGAGGATAGTCACTTGCTGTGTTCAAATGGGTAGGATGGTCCTTCCTGGCTTGGACTTAGGTGGGATTTTGTGACTAGTCCTGATCAATGGATTGTGAATGGAATAGTTGCCAGTGTGAGACCTTCCAGAGCTTTCTTTCCCTCTGCCCTAATGACAGGTCATGTTTCAGATCACAGTTTGTCCATCTGTGCAGGTCTCAGTGTAAGGACAAAACAGAGCACCATCCCAAGTCAATGCACTGATGGGAAATTATTGTTATTTTTAATCCACTAAGATTTGGGGTTGTTTGTTACTGAGGCCTAACTGATCCTCTCCTGACTGATACACCCTGAACATATGTGATCTGTGACCCCTTGGGAATCCTGAGTGCTGTAGACCTTTTATGGCAGTACCCCACTCATGGTACTCATTCTAGGGTCAGTCACACAACCTTCTGATTTTCTATTCTGATAGGTGCCTGGGAGGTCCAGATGTGGAAATAGAGTATTTGGTGGACTGCTACCAGTAGTGAACAAGACTGGCCTCATGAATCTTACATTTTAGTGAATGAGTCAGACAAACAGACATCTGTATACCAGATAGAGCTAGTGCTATAGAGAGAAAACGCAGTAGAATAAGGAGGCTAGAGAGGGTCAGGATAAGGGCGAGTGTTGCTATCTTACACAGTGTGGTTAGGGGAAGTCTCACCGGGGTGGGGACCTGAGGGAAGGGAGCCACATAAATATGGGGCATCCTAAAAATGTATGCACACTTTAACCGCCGGTGCTCAGTTTTTGAAAATGAAATATATTTTAATCAACACTGCCTTTATAATTATTCAAAGTGTGTGTATACATTTTTGGGGACACCCTATATTTGGAGAGAGAGCAAATGTGGGAATACTTGGTGAGTTCAGGGAGCGCTAAAAGGCCAGCGTGGCTGATGTGGAGGAGAGGACAGTAAAAGCTGCAGGAGAAGGAGTCAGAAAAGGGAGAGGCAGGTTTTGTAGATAAATGTAGGGACACAGGATTTTATTTGAAGTAAGCTGGGGGCGGGGAGGGGCAGAATTGGAGAGTCTGGGAACAGGCATGGCATTGCTTATATTTTTATTTTTTTATTTTATTTTTTTTATATTTATTTATTTATTTATTTTATTGCTTAAAGTATTACAAAGGGTATTACATATGTGTCCATTTTGTCCCCCCGCCCTAGACAGTCCCCTAGCCTCCCCTATCCCCCAATGTCTTATGTCCACTGGTTATGCTTCTATGCATGCATACAAGTCCTTTAGTTGATCTCTTACCCCCCTACCTCCTGCCCCGCAACCCTCTCCGGCCTTCCTGCTGCAGTTTGACAATCTGTTTGAGGCAGCTCTGCCTCTGTATCTATTATTGTTCAAAAGTTTATAATGGTCTCTATTATCCATGAATGAGTGAGATCATGTGGTATTTTTCCTTCATTGACTGGCTTATTTCACTTAGCATAATGCTCTCCAGTTCCATCCATGACGTTGCAAATGGTAAGAGTTCCTTCCTTTTTAGAGCAGCATAGTATTCCATCGTGTAGATGTACCACAGTTTTCTAATCCATTCATCTACTGATGGGCACTTAGGCTGTTTCCAGATCTTAGCTATGGTGAATAGTGCTGCTATGAACATAGGGGTGCATATATCCTTTCTGATTTGTGTTTCTGGTTTCTTGGGATATATTCCTAGAAGTGGGGTCACAGGGTCAAATGGGAGTTCCATTTTCAGTTTTTTAAGGAAACTCCATACTGTCTTCCATAGTGGCTGCACCAGTCTGCATTCCCACCAGCAGTGCACAAGTGTTCCTTTTTCTCCACATCCTCTCCAGCACTTGTCGTTTGTTGATTTGTTGATGATAGCCAGTCTGACAGGTGTGAGATGGTACCTCATTGTTGTTTTGATTTGCATCTCTCGGATGATTAGTGACTTTGAGCATGTTTTCATATGTCTCTTGGCTTTCTGAATGTCCTCTTTTGAAAGGTGTCTATTTAGGTCCTTTGCCCATTTTTTGATTGGATTGTTTATCTTCCTTTTGTTAAGTTGTATGAGTTCCCTATAAATTTTGGAGATTAGGCCCTTATCAGATATGAGATTGGCAAATATGTTTTCCCACACAGTGGGTTTTCTCGTTGTTTTGTTCATGGTTTCTTTTGCTGTGCAGAAGCTTTTTATTTTGATGTAGTCCCATTTGTTCATTTTCTCTTTCGTTTCAAGTGCCCTAGGAGCTGTATCAGTGAAGAAATTGCTTCGGCATATGCCTGAGATTTTGTTGCCTTTGGATTCTTCTAGAATTGTTATGGTTTCCTGTTGTACATTTAAGTCCTTTATCCATTTTGAGTTTATTTTTGTGTATGGTGTAAGTTGGTGGTCTAGTTTCATTTTCTTGCATATATCTGTCCAATTTTCCCAGCACCATTTATTGAAGAGACTATCTTGGCTCCATTGTATGTTCCTGCCTCCTTTGTCAAATATTAATTGAGCATATTGGTTCGGGCCGATTTCTGGGCTCTCTATTCTATTCCATTGATCTATATGCCTATTCTTGTGCCAGTACCAGGCAGTTTTGAGAACAGTGGCTTTGTAATACATCTTGATATCTGGTATTGAGATCCCCCCTACTTTGGTCTTTTTCAGGATTGCTGCAGCTATTCGAGGTCTTTTTTTATTCCAGATGAATTTTTGGAGAGTTCGTTCTAGATCTCTGAAGTATGCCGTTGGTATTTTAATGGGAAGTGCGTTGAATTTATAGATTGCTTTGGGTAGTATGGACATTTTAATGATGTTGATTCTACCAATCCATGAACACGGTATGTTCTTCCATCTGTTTATGTCTTCCTCTATATCTTTTTTCAACGTCCTGTAGTTTTCTGAGTAGAGGTCTTTTACCTCTTTAGTTAAGTTTATTCCTAGGTAGCTTAATTTTTTTGGTGCGATGGTAAACGGGATTGTTTTTATAATCTCTCTTTCTGAAAGTTCACTATTGGTGTATAGAAATGCCTCGGATTTCTTGGGGTTAATTTTGTATCCTGCTACATTGCCAAATTCATGTATTAAGTCCAGTAGCTTTTTGATGGAGTCTCTAGGGTTTTGTATGTATACTTCCATATGTTATCGATTTTTTCATCTGTTTCTTCTTGCTTCTTGCTGAGGTTGTCGATTTTTTCCTCCATCCGGTTTATGCACTCTAGGACCCTTATTCTGAATTCTTTTTCTGTCATGTTGCATGCCTCTGTATTACTTAGCTGCTTTTCTGGAGAGTCCTCCTTCTCTTTCCTTTGGGGGTTTCTTTGTCTACCCATGTTTGATCTCACTGACATATCTAGACGTTGAGTCGTTCAGTGGCTGCTCCCTTGGTGGCAGTGACTCCTTGGTCTGCGGTTGCTCTTCGGGCGGTTGCGGTAGCAGCTCCTCTTCAGTTGGCAGCAACTCCTCTGGTGGGTGCTGTTCACAGCTGTGGTGGCTCTTCTGGCTGGTGCGGCGAGGTTTCACGTACAGCTGCTGTTCCTCAGCAGAGGGTGTGGTGCTCAGGAGGTTGCTGTTGCTTGGATCTGCTGTGTTGATTTAAAGGCACAAAATACAACACAACAAGGCACCACGTACCAGGCACTATACACAAATATATTCACGATATTAATAACCCCAAATAAAGGTGACCACCTGAATTAAGAGAATTAGGGGATAAGGAAGAAGGAAGAGAAAAAGAGAAAAGAGAAAAAAGAAAAGAAAATTAGGGACCAAAAAAAGGAGTGCAAAAATGAAATTGGAAAAAAGGAGGGGGGAAAGTAAAAGCGAGAAAAGAAAGGAAAAGAAAAAAAAAGAGCGAAAAGAGAGAATGAAGTGGAAGAGGGGAAGAGACTTTTTTATATGAGGAGAATACTCCTATAGAACAGCCATTAATCCCAACAAATTCCAGCAACAGCTCCCTGGAGATGAATGCAAACTAGAAACAACCAATAATATAACAATGAAAATAGAATGGAGAACACTAATCCCAAAATAAAATAAAGAGAAAATAAAATGGCACTTTAAAAAAAAATGGTAAAATGGTAGCAGTAATAATACTGGTTAAAAATAAGAAGGTAGTAATTAAAAGGGTAAAATCAGGTGATGGAAAAAAGAAGAAAAAAAAAAGAAAAAAAGAAAAAAAATTGGTTTCTTAGTTAAAAGGTGAAAAAAGAAAAAAAAAATATTGCAGTAGTGAAGGTCCTTCGGTTCTTCTATTCTTCAGTGTGGCTCGCCTTAGACCTGCCAGGTATTCAGGAGAGTGTTGAGTTTCCCTGCGATACACTGTTCCTCTGTGTGTAAACCACAGTCCTTATTTTAAAGCAAGCCGCATTTGTTTCCCAGACTGCCTTATTTTGTGTTTAGCAAAGAGTCAGTTTGTGGGTCAGCCTCTGGGTGGCAGTGTTCTGGGGTTGGCCTCTGAGGCTACAGGGCCTCTCTGTCCAGTGGAAGTTCACTGCCCAGAGCTGGCTGCGTAAGAGTTACCAGTGCTGTGTTGTTGCTGGGATTGAAAATCCCTCTATAGGCCAGACCCTGTTAACTCCCAGGGACTGATCAGGTTATTTTAATCCTTGATCTCCTACAGGGTGGAATCTGGGTGTGGCTGTGCTCCTTGCCTGGGGGCTGGGGGGAGGAGTCTCACTCTCAGGAGAGAATGGCTGCCTCAGTCCTGGGCTCAGGGGTGACTCAGCACTCAATTCGCTGCCACCTCTCCCGGCCCCCCTTCTCTCCTCAGTCTCTCCCCAGATTCCACTCCTCCGCACACTCACCCTCTCTTCAGCACAGGTGAGTGTCTGTATCCGAAATGTCCCATGAACAGGGTTCAGTGAAAACAAACAAACAAACGCCGGCCGCGGAAACGGGGAAGGCTTGGTTTCTGTAAGCTTCTTCTCTTACCGGGACTGCATGGTCTGGTCAGCTCTTCAGGCTGCCCCCTTTAGGCTCAGTCCTCTGTGATCACAGACCGAGCTCTCAATTCCCCCGGTGGCGCCAGGAATCCCGCGGTTCTCCTTTCCCCTGTCAGGGGCTGTGCCTGTCCCAAGGGACGCGGCTGTCTGCCACGCGGTCTCCCTCCGACTCTGGCATTGCTTATATTTTTAAAGGGTTCCTCTCGTTCCATTATGTATTGTGTTTTCATGAAGAGTCCTATGGGCATGGTCCAGGTGAGAAACCTGAGGTTCAGAGGGGTTAAGACCTTGCTCAGGTTTACACGGCTGGTGAGCAGCAGAGCGGGGCCTCCCAGTTCGCGTCATCTGACTGCAGAACTGAGCCCTTGTCCGCAGGCTGGGCTTATCCCAGTCCCTTCCTGTTCTCTTTGGCTTTGGAAAACCCGTCTAAATTTGGAGTAGCAGCAGTGTCTCAACAGTCTAGCCTTCTTCACTGTTGACTTCAGCCCGTCTTTCCTCGATGCATCCCCTACGATGTGACAGCTCTGACTGGGCTCCTCATGGTTGCTGCTCCCACACACCTGTTGTTCTTGAAGGGGCTGTAGTGCGTGCCCAGGACCACCTGGCCTTTCTGTTCTTCCCTTGGCTTGCAACCAGGGATGCAAACCTGTGTCCGAAACCCAACTCGAACCACTTTCTGGGTAATGTCATGCAAAGCTTCCCTTTCTCCTTTTAGATATTGAGAGCAAAGTTATCAACGAAGAATGCGCTGAAGAGAATGTCACCTTTAACTTGAAAGCCAAAGGGGATGAGATGAAGATCGGCTGTTCCACAATCGAAGAATCTGAATCTATAGGTACAGACCTGCTCGTGAGAGTCAAGGAGGGTGGTTTGGGTGGTTCAACCAGCAAGTATGAGCTGATCACCTCCTACGTGCCAAGACATGTGCCAGGCAGTGAGGGACTCCTGATGGTGGAGGTAGAAACAGTCTGTGACCTCAGGGACCTTTCCATCTGCTAGGGAGATCAGACATTAAATAAATACTCTCATGAGATTGCAGTATCGAGAGCTTCCCTCTCCAGTGCAGCAGCTACTGGCCACATCTGGTCACTGAGCACTTGAAATGTGGCAAAGCTGTAAATGTAAAATGAATGCCAATTCCAAAAGCGTGGTGAAAAAAGAAAGAAAAGGATGTGAAATATCTCATTAATAGTTGTTTATATTGATTGCATGTCGAAATGTTGTTTTGCATGTGCGTTAACAATTATTATAATTCATTTCACTTGTTTCTTCCCTTTTCTAAAATGTCACCACTAGAAAATTTAAAATCACACATGTGGCTCCTACTGTACTTCCAGTGACAGTGCCAATTTGTATCGGTGTTGGCAAGCTTTCCCTGTAGAGGGCTGGTTGGTAATTGTTCTAGGGGTTGAGGGCACTACAATCTCTGTTCCAATTACTCATCTCTGCCATCATAGTGCAAAGGCATCCATAGACCATACGTAAAGGAATGCGTGTGGCTCTGTTGCAATACAACTTTTATTTAGGAAAAACAAAACCCAAGCAATAGCTCGATTGGCTTGCTGGCCATTGTCAGCCACCCCCTGATCTACTAGTCTTGCTCTCTGAAGGGCACGGGGGCAGACCTAGGACACATCCCTGGAGACCATCAACATTGAGACCACCCAAGAGACTGAATGAGAATAATCAAAAACGTGGGAGGGGACGTTAGTTCCCACTGCTGAGTCAAACCGTCTCTTAAAAGTACAAATTCAAATTTATTTTGTGAAGGTTGCCCAGATTTCTCCAGGTGATAGCTCCTCCGGATTTTCTTTTTATGGTTCTGCTGAGAGTCCCCTGGAAATCCACTGGTGTGTCAATCCTCAGAGCGGGCCAGTGACGATGTACAGGGTACTAAAGCATACATGTGTCAGGCCATCTGTGATACCTACTGAGCAAACGATTCCTTTTTATTTTATTTTTTATTTTTTTGCCCTTGGGGGACTTGCAGGAACCACTGGGGTGGCTTTTGTCTCTTTTGCGGGTATGGAGTCTGTGCTCGATGAGAGCTTCTTCCAAGACCCTCAGACCCCCTTGGCCAACTCCAAGAGGAAGCTGAAGATGAATTCTCGCATCATTGGGGGCATCATGACGGGGGAGAAGAAAGATGGGTTCTCTGACCCAGTCATCTACACCCTGGAGAACATCGAGGTTTGTGAAGAGGTCCTCACTGGGCCCCCACCTACCCATTGACAGGCTTGACTCTCATTTCTCAAAGGAACCCAATGACTAGCAACGCCAGCCCATTCTCGAAGAATGAGCCCTTCTACTTCTTTTTGTTTCTAAATCTTCACCTGAGGATTTTAGAGAAAGAGGAAGGGGGAGAAAGAGAGAGAGAGAGATCAAGGTGAGAGAGGAATATCAATCAGTTGCCTCCCATAACATGCCCCGACCAGGGATCAAACCAAATCCTAGGTATGTGCCCCAACCAGGAATCGAACCCAAAACCTTTTAGTGTGCAGGATGATGCTCCAATCAACTGAGCCGCCAGGCCAGGGCAGAGCTCTTCTCTTTCTATGAGGTGTTCTTCCTTTCCTCAACGAGTAACATTTAGTTCAGATGATGTAACATTGACGCAAGAACATACACGTGGACTTTATTTACATTAGCTATGACCAAGCCAGAGGTAGAGATAGGTCTGGCATCCAAGACATTGCTTTTCGTCACTGCACTTTGAAATATCAGCATTTTCCCCCATTCCCTACATAACATCCCTGCATCTTCTTGTCCCAAATGACTCTTAAGTGATCACATTGAGTCCATTCAAGAGGGGCTCTCAGGTGACCAAGAGCCTTTGCATTTTCAGCCAAAGCAGAAGTTTGAGAGGCCCATCTGTGTTTCCTGGAGCACAGACGTGGGGAGCGGTAGGTGGACACCATCTGGCTGTGTGGTCCTTGAAGCTTCAGAGATGTATACCGTCTGCAGCTGTAATCGACTGGCAAACCTGGCCATCATCATGGCTTCTGGGGAGCTCACGGTCAGTGCTGACACTCGGTGCTCTGGTTCCCCGCTCCTGATTGGGAAACATTGACTAAGCATCTGTATGTGCCCCTCATGGTGTGTGTTATATGAGTGAGTCATGGGGACAGAGGGAATTCGTGGTCTGCTTGGGAAGCCATGACATTCATATATCAAATGAGAAATGACCCTAAATAGGTGCAGGCACAATACCAATCACAGATTCCATTTAATGAGCACCTACTATGTACTGGACCCTTTGTTTTAACTTGTTAGTTTTAGACCCATTTTATAGGATGGGAGACTGAGGCTCAGTAGTCTGCCTAGTCATGAAGCTTGTAATTGGTAGAGGTGGGATTTGAACTCAGGACAATTTGGATCCAGAGGTCTCTTTCCACTAAATTATGCAAATGGTGCAAGAGGCTGTGGGAATTCAGATGTATCAGTGAGAGCTGGTGATCGATCAGGAAGGAAATAGAGTATGAAATGAGACTTGGTGAATGGGTAGATTTGATACAGAGGAAAGACAACCTCCTTAGTGCCGTGGTGAGTATCCTTGCCTATTATGCCAGATCTGAGGTTCAGTTTTCTGCCAGGAGGGCTTTGAATGCTATTTAGAGAAATATAATGCACAGGACTTAGGAGAATCAGATCCCAAGCAAGACAGACCTAGTTTTAAGTCCTGTCTGTATCATGTCCTGGCTGTGTTTCCTTGGGCAAATCACTTAGCCTCTCTGAGCCTGAACCCAGTTCTTTCATCTCAAAATTGAAAAATAAGAAAAAAATGAGGACAGCTAACACTTCCACAGCATGTCATATGCTGTGGCACAGTTGTGCGTAATTCCAGTATTTTCACTGGATGCTCCTAAAATCTTAAAGCAATCCTATAAGGAAGTCACTGTTAGCACCCCCTTTGAACAAAGGAAGAAACTAAGGCACAGAGCAATTAAGTGTCCTGTTCAAGTTCATGCAACTAGAAACCAGCAGAATTGTGGGCTGTTTTTTAGCTACTGGGTCACCATGTTGCCAAGAGGAGCTCATGAGGTGGTGCCCGGCACAGTGTTACGCACCTTTAATACACAGAGGACACTCAAATAAGTTTAAAAATTAGTCTAAAATGGTTGATGAATAATGGTTAATGGGAAGGACGCAGCTTGTCATTTCCACTCCCGGAAGCTGGCGTCTCTGAACATGTATGCATCAGTCCTGGTTCAGTGCAGGAAGTAGGAACCCCTCTAGGTATTTCAAGCAGCAGGGGATTGAACACAGGGACCTGGGTGCTCCCGGGAAGGGATGGAGCAGTTGAAGTCAGGGAGCTGCCACTTGGATTTTGGCTTTGGGATCACCCCTCTGCCGCTGCAATCAGAAGATAAAAATGACTGCTGTCAGGCCGCTCCCCATCCATTGGAATTAAAAACTGGACAGTTGGAATGTGGTGTCCAGCCACAGCTCACTCCTGACTGCAGAAAGCTGGTATCTGTCTTCGCAGACTTCCATGCAGGCATCGCATGGGAGAACCTGAGTGGCATCCAGGACCTTAGCCCCAAGAGATTCTGGGAAGTGTAGTTTGTAGACAACCTGCCCTAGTAATATGTGGGTGGGGTATGGGACAGGGTGGGAATGGGTGCTGACGGATGCTTATAGATGCCAAAGAATGACGATGGACAATAGCTAGTTTACTCTGATCTCAGAGGAAGAAAAGTTCCCCAAGCTCTTTCTGCCCACGTCAGGAGTCTGTATCATTCCTTTTCCTGCCCAGGAGAATGTTTCTCTGTCTGAGTGGAGTATCTTTTTCCTGACAGATGGATTTCTCCTTGTACGTCATTAGCCTCGTGGGCATGATCATCTCCCTGGTGTGTCTCCTCTTGGCCATCGCCACTTTCCTGCTGTGTCGTGCCATCCGCAACCGCAACACCTACCTCCACCTGCACCTCTGCGTGTGCCTCTTCTTGGCCAAGTTTCTCTTCCTCACCGGTGTAGACAAGACCGACAACCAGGTCTCACATCCCTCAGGCTGGGCCCCTATCCAGCTCCATGATCTCCACATCTGCCTCTGCTCATCCCTACCCAACTCCCTCTGTAGTAGTTCCCGCCTCAGGACCTTTGCACATGCTATGCCCTCTTCATAGTAGTCATCCTCCAGTACCTCATCTGGTTGACTCCTTCTTATAATTGGTCTCGGTTTAAAATCATCTCCCTGACCATATTATATATTGTGGCGGATGGTCCCTCCTCTTACTCTTTAAACCATGGGTTCTCGCCTGGGATGATTCTGCCCCCTTGGAGGACACTTAGCACTATCTGGAGACATTATTGGCTGTCACCAGTGGGAGAGGGTACCACTGGCATTTCGTGGGCGGAGGCCAGGGATGCTGCCACGCACAGGACAGCACCCCCCAAGACAGAAAATAACCTGGCAACAGCATTACAGCTGTCAATACAGCTACAGCTGGGAAACTCAGCGTACCACTCCATGTTGCATTCCTTCCCAGCTCTTACTTGAAACCATATAGATTATTTATCATTTTATTGTGTATCTACTTTTGCCAGTAGACTGTGTGCCCTGTGAGAGCAAGAACTGGGGCCCGTTGACCCCCAGAACTGTGCCCGAAATACAGGAGGCTCTCAGAGTTTTCCCCGAAGCAGCGCCATGGACCATTCCTTGTGCAGAGCCACCCCTCTCCCTGCGGGATGTTTGGCTGCCCAGTCCCTCTGAGAACTAAATGCTGGTAGTTGCACCCCACTCTCATCGTGAGGCCGGCACTGGGCAAGCTTCTATAGACCCAGATAGGATCCAGTTGGCCTTACAGATCCTACGATTTCTGCTGCAACTATTCAAATCTGCTGTTTTGGTCTGAAAACAGCCACAGAGGACACATCCATGGGTGTGGCTGTGTGCCCATGAAACGGTATTTATAAAACAGGCAGCCAGTCCAGTGGCTGCAGTTCGTGAACCTCCCCTCCCCACCCCCATATCTTCAGTCATCCCCTAAAGGAGGGTGATCATCTACCCGTTTTTACCCCAAATGCTCCCAGGCATCGACAGTCCCATGTCCTGGGAAAACTCAGTCCCAGGCAAACCAGGACGAGTGGTCACCCTACCGTAGGGAGGGCGCAGCCCATGATGGAGGCTCTCTCATAAATATTTGTGAAATGAATGAATGAATGAATGAGTGAGTGAGTCAGCGAATGGGCTGTGTTTGGGGAATGCCCGCAAAGTAGTCCCTCTCCTGCCCTCGTCCTCTGAACCTGGCCCTTGGGAGGGGCGGGGAGTCCTGAGAGCACACGCTTCTCCTTTCAGATAGGCTGCGCCATCATCGCGGGCTTGCTGCACTACCTCTTCCTCGCCTGCTTCTTCTGGATGCTGGTGGAGGCCGTGATGCTCTTCCTCATGGTCAGGAACCTCAAGGTGGTGAATTACTTCAACTCCCGCAACGTCAAGATGCAGTATCTCTGTGCCTTTGGCTACGGGCTCCCAGGGCTGGTGGTGGTTGTCTCGGCCAGCGTGCAGCCGCAGGGCTACGGGATGCATAATCGGTAAGTGGCATCCCCCCCTCCCTGAAGGCCCTGCTGCCAGGGTTCATGGTGATAATGACATGAACCATAAGAAGAGCAAGGACATGATAGGAGCATGGCTACCGTTCAGTGCGCTTTTTGTACACCCATGTGCTCTGGCTGCCGTGTACAGCAGCACAGGTTGCGCAGGCATGAATCCAGGAGCTCCTGTTAGCGCTGGCGTCTAGGTAAATGGCGGTGATGTGAACAGTGGACTTGACTGTACAGTTTTGTTTTAATTCTAACCTGAGGATATTTTTTTTAAATTGATTTTAGAGAGAGAGAAAGAGGGTTGGGGAGAGAGAGAGAAACATTGATGTGAGAGAGAGAGATAGCAATCAATTGCCTCCCATACACGCCCCGACCAGGGATCGAACCCACAAGCTAGGGATGTGTCCTGACCTGGAATCGAACCTGCAGACTTTTGGTTTATGGGATGATGCTCCAACCAACGGAGCCACCGATCAGGGCGTGGTTGTACAGTTTTAAAATCATGGACTCTGGAGCCAAGCTTCTTGGGTTTGAGTCTTGGCTCCACTACCTCCTAGTGGTGCCTCCATGTCCTCACCTGTACAGTGGGGGCGAATAGCAGTGCTGACATCATGGTGCTGCTGTGAGGGTTAAACGAGTTATTATCTGCAAAACACCTAAAGCAGGGTCTGGCACAGAGTCAAGCATTATTCATGTCGCGGTTAGCATCACTGTTACGATGTTGTCTGTTTTAAGTGAGGTGTGTTTACCACGTTTCTATGTGAGATCATTTTAGGCAGTATGCTGGTAAGTACTCCTTTTAAATAGAATTTATTTTGTAGGTAATTAAAAAAAAAATGGCCAGAATACCAAATTCATGGTTTCACAGACACAATTTGTATAAGTAAAAGACAGAGCCTACTTTGAGGAAAAAATCAGGTGAATTCTAGGACAAGGAGTAGGTGGACAGGGCAGAGACGGTAACTCCCCATGTTATTCCCTTTAGTTCTCCGACAGGCCCTGGGGCGGTGCTGCTCCTTTAATTTAGAGGCGAGGACACACGCTCTCAGAAAACCTTCCCCCCAGGACAGTGAGGGGGGGCATGTGAGGACCTGGATCTGGGTCTTTCCAATCCCGGGGTCTCTGCTTATCACCCCGTGCTGTAGGCGCTCTGCTGAGCCGTGTTTGGGGAGTTCAGTGATCCGGGTTTCCTCCCTGCCTGATGATGGTTCCTACTTCAGATGAGGTCGTAGGATAAGGGGTGAGGAAAAAGAATTCATACTCAGTGAGCACCCATCATAGCCTAAACCCCATCAGCTTTGCAACCCTATTACCTCTGGTGCTTCCCAACAAACATCCTGTGAAAATCTAAGCGTCTCCATCATGTACAGGATACATCGTACCCTGGGTTTTGTAGTGCACAACCTGTGCTGCTGTGCATGGCCGCCCAAGACCACACGTACATAGAGTAACAGCTTAATAAGTGGTAGCTGCCGAGGAAATCGGGGCTCGGGACAGCTGCAGAGATTGCCCCGGTCACATAACTAGGAAGTGTCCAAGCTGAGTGCAGGCCTGACTGTTCTGTCAGGGGATGGTAACCATGCAAGGCTGCCATGAGGAAGTGCCTCCTGCTGGAGCAGGTAGGATAAGCCCCGGCACAGACCAGAGGCTGATGGCATCTGAAAGCTGGAAAGTTCAGGGAAGGCTTCCTGGAGGAGGCAGGATCTGGGTCTTAAAAGCTCTGCCGGAAGGGACGCAGCAAAGAGGAAAGGGGGTAGCAACATGGATGAGGATGAAAGTTTGCCCACGGGGGAGAGCTTGAGGTGTGTTTGAAGAACAGATGGACTGGGCTGGGAGAAGGCTGGGGGAGACTGGGGTGGGCATGGAATTTGGACAACACCTGTAGGTGGTCTGGGAAAGTTTGGGGAAGGAAGGCGTCATTGACAAGGATTTGAGATGATCTCAGGGAGCACTAGGAAGCGGGTGGGGAAGTGAGACCGGGAGGAGAGGGACCGCACACAGAGTGAATTCAGGAGCAGGTCCTGCTGTGGGTCACCAGTTCAATACCAAAGGCACCAAGAGGAGACCGTGCAGGGTGTGCACCACCGTTATCCCACCCAAGGGTGAGGGAGCCGGCATATTCACCCACCAACTCCCTCTCATCACCCCTGGGTGGGGGCTGCTCCCAGGAGAACAGCCTCCAGCACTTCTAGTCTGATGCCCTGAGGCCGGCGGCAGAGAAGCAGCACCGATAGGGAAATAGCCAGTATTTGCATAAGTGGTCTTTCCCGACAGGGTGTGAACGGCCTCTTCTCAGGTTGCAAACATTTTCCTGCCTTTATTATTCTGCTACTGGAGACTCAGTGCCAGGAAAGACCATGTGGTTGTCAAACTTGACTACCAGGGCGGTAGAGCTCTATTGTTTGAGGAGACCAAGTTTAGAGCCATAGAAAACCTGCCCTCTAACAAAGTGCCCGTGTCCTATCACTAGGTTGGCGTTTTATTAAGGTTCCTATGACCACATAACCCTTTTTTTAGTTCCCTGCTTTTGCTTACTTTACAACCCATGAAGACAAAGAACATGAAGTCAAGAAAAAGTAGACTGGGACAAACACCACACTTGTTTTTCTCATAGAGATGTTGTTTTTGTTTGTGTGTGTTTTTTTTCATAAGAGCAGGAGAGAGCAAGCATATTCCCTTCCTCTACTATTTAAGTGCAATTCTCACCGGAATCTCCAAGAAGGACATTAAAAACCTCAGCCAGAATCAAATAAAACCAGGCACAGTTTTTACATATAGATAATAATTTTGAATGATGGATGTTTTTGTTCCAGAAAGAATCTGTCCATCTCCTCATAGCCCGGGCCATACCTTTGTAAATGCACTTATAAAGAGCAGCATAATTTGCCACAGAAAGCCAAGCTATTCCTCTGTACTATTAAACTCAACAGAGAGCTCCATACGCAGCCACGGGAGGCATAAGCAATTATCTCGGAAAACGGAAAGGTTTCGAATCTTTGCATGACCTCTAACGGTCCACACAGCTGTCCGTTCACTGCACGCAATTATACAGTGACCAGTCCATAGCAGGAAAAGCCATACACATATTTAGTAAAGCCAACCTTGCATTCATCAAAAGCTACTGGGGGCACTCCCCAGGCTTTCTGGGAAGAGTTAGCTTTGCAGGGCACAGGGAGATGAAAGAGCAAAGGAGACCGCTCGTCCCCACTTTGTCCAAGACTAAAGCCAGTCGACCACCAAAACTGCTGAGGATGCGACAGTGTCACATCCTCCAATCTCTCTGTAGAGTTTCAAAAGGATAGATAAATTTAATTGAATGACTATGTTTGTGCTATTGCTAGGGGGAAAGGGAGACAGGCGTATCACTGCTAATTGACCATTCAGAGGAAATCATAAAACAATTATAGCTACTATGGAGTAATATAGGAGATTGAAGGAAGTGATTAAAAGGGCTTTATCTAATAGAAGTATATTATAAACTCTGATTCCCTAATTATCTGTCATACCCCATATGGATCACTGTGAACAAAATGGAATGTTCTCTTACAGCTCATACAACCCCAAGTAACCTGAAAGTCTTATATTTGCCAGTGGTCATAGCAATCAATTGCCTAAATAGGCCAGATTTCCCTGGATTCCAGGAACTAGACTGCCCGTCATTGCAGCACAGGATGCAATCCAACATATGCATGTGGTATACACACTGGAAGTGGGTGGGTTTTGGAAATCCAGCATACATTTGGAGTATCATGTCAGTATGTTTCCGGAGACTGTGTAGATGTCATTTGTAAACCAGAAAAGCGTAGTATGCTCTCATGTTGTAACGCGTGGTTTATGTTTTGACTGTGGAGGTGCATATTTACTAAAGACAACATAGAGATAAAAGATTTCTATATATTGTGAAATGATCACCACAGTAATCTAGTTAACACCCATCCCCTCTCACAGTTACACACGTTTTACTTGTGAGGAGAACTTTAACATGTACTCTTCTAGCAACTTTAAAATAGACAACATTATGAACTACAGTCACCATGCTATACACTACATCCCAGGACTAGTTAATTTTATAACTGAAAGCTTGCCTCTTTTGACCTCCTTCACCCATTTCTCCTATCCCCACCCTCTGGCCACCACCTACCTGTTCTCTGTATCTGTGAGCTTGTTTTTTCCCCCTTAAGATTCCACATATAAGTGACATCATTCATCGTTCTCTGTCTGACTTATCTCACTTAGTATAATGCCCTCAGGTTTCATCCGTGTTGCTGCAAATGGCAAGATCCTTTCTTTCAACAAATAGTTATGGAATGCCGTGTCCATAGCAGCTCTGGGTATTCAGAGATGAACAAGCATTCAAGGTCTAAATTCTCAAGCAGCTCATGGTCTAGTAGGGGAAGACGGGCAATTGGCCAGTCAACAAGCTGAACATAATCGTATGATCTAAACACTAGTAGATGCCATAAAAAAAAGGCAGCAAGCTTTGCCAGAGCGGGACCAGGAGTAGGGACAGTGTACTTAGTAAGGAATAGTCAGGAGTGGCTTCTCAGAGGAGGTGACGTTTGAGCTGACATTTGAATGACAAGGTGCGCCATGGAGAGTCCTGAAAAAGAGGGGAAAGGGATGGCAAAGGTTACGCATTGAGAATGGCCTCTCCCACGGCACATGGCACGAGGTGAACATTTCAGGAACATTTAGTCAGGAAGAAGGTCAGAAAGAGGACTTGCTAGAGTCCAAAGAAAACTGAAATGCCACCTGCCCCATCATGAGATACTTTTTTAATCTCCGTCTCATCTCCCCATTTTCTGCACTTGGCGGGGCTGGATTAATTAACTTGAAGGGCAAGACTGAGGCAAGCACTGACTCCTCCTGTTTCTCTCCACAGCTGCTGGTTGAATACCGAGACAGGGTTTATCTGGAGTTTCCTGGGGCCGGTTTGTACAATCATACTGGTAAGCAAATTGCTTGGTGCTGTGGGTTCTGGATGAGGGGCCTGAACCGAGGGTCCAGTGGAGGTTGCAGAACTGAGGTCACGTATTCCTCTCCCTTCTGATCCTTGATTCTTGAGATTTCCAAGTTGGAATGTAATATCTTTGACTCGTGATTTCTTTTTTTTTTTTTTAATGCAGCATGCCAATCCCCTGGGAGGGACCACAGTCTTCTTTGTCCTTTGCGTTTCAGTAAAATGGGTCTATTAATCTCTTCTGAGCACAGGTGTTGAATGAAAGAAAAGATAGAGGGTTTTTCTCAGCTTTATTGAAGTATAATTGGCATAGAAACTATAAGTTTATGGTGAACAACTTGAAATTTTGACTTATGTATATCTTGTAAAATGATCACCTCCATCAAGGTAACTAACATTTCTATCACCTCACATAATTACCATTTTTTTCCATTTTTTAAGTTAAATTTGTTGCCCTCACATTGGTTGTTCTATATATAAATTTCAGGTGTATTATTATAACCTGACATTTGGTGTACTCTATTGCATGCTCACCACCAAAAGTCTAGTTTCTTTTCATAACTATGGATTTGTCCCCCTTTACCCAATTTGCTCTCCCTCCCACCCTTCTTACCCTCTGGTAACTACCGTTCTGTTATCATAGTATTTGTTTTTGTTTTGTTTTGCTGGTTGGTTACTCTTGTTTTATATCCTACCTACTAGAGGCCCAATGCACAAAATTCATGCAAGTGGCTCAGCCCTCGCAGCCCCGGCTTCATCCGGAAGGTTGTCTGGATGGTTGTTGTGCTGTTCGATCTAATTAGCATATTAGATCTTTATTATATAGGATGAGTAAAATCATAGGCATTTGTCCTTTTCCATGTGACTTATTTCATTAGCCTAATAACTCTCAAGGTCTACCCATGTTGTTGAAAATAGCAGGTAAGAACATTTAAGACCTACCCTTTCAGTAAATTCTAGGAATATAACACAATATTGTTAACTATAGTCACCATGCTGTAGGTTAGATCTGGGCAATTCCTCACCTTGCATCAGTGAAACTTTGTAACCTTAGCCCAACCCCCCCCCCCACCCCCCCCTCCAATTTCCTTCCCCACATCCCCGGCAATCCTGCAATCCTGGGATCTGAGGGAGGCTAAGCAACAACCATCTCTTGCCTCCTTGACTCCACCCGGATTCTACAGTCTTACAAGATGATCTTTCTCACTCCTGGTGGCTTGTTTCCTTGTGTCACTTATTGTTAGTTATGAGCTCATATTTGACCAGTCGCAATCTTGGGAATTCTTGTAGCTGTATTCCTCCAGATCAGTGGTCGGCAAACTACAAAATACCACGTGTGGGCGCGCACGTACAGTGCGATTGAAACTTCGTGGCCCATGCACAGAAGTTGGTATTTTGTGGAAGAGCCACACTCAAGGGGCCAAAGAGCCGCGTGTGGCTCGCGAGCCGGTTTGCCAACCACTGCTCCAGAGGGTTTTGCTCTGACCCCTGATCTTTTCCAGGGTCATGTATTAGTCTTCTGGAACTGCCTGAACAAACGATCACAAACTGGGTAGCTTAGAACAATGGGATTTTATTGTGTCAGTGCTGGAGGCAGGCTAGACATCTGAAATCAAGGAGCTGGCTGGGCCACACTCCCTCTGAAGGCCTTGGGGAAGGATCTGTTCCAGTTTTCTCTCCAACTACTGGCAGCCTGGGGCGTTTCTTGGCCTAGAGATGTCTGCCTGCTTCCTATTCCCTCACATCGTCACCTGCAGTGCATGTCTGTCTCTTTGTGGCTAATCGCCTCCTCTTATAAGGACACCAGTCATAGTGGATTAGGGCCCACTCTACTGACCCCATCTTAATTTGATCACCTCGGCAAAGACCAGATCTCCAAATGAGATCTGAGGTGCCGGGGATTAGGACTTAACAAAACTTTGGGGGTGGGGTACAGTTCAACCCCTAACAGGGCATCTGTCTTGAGTCTAACTTCCCAGATGCATTGAGTGGAAATACATGAAGATCACTCAGATGAGAACAGCAAAGGCTATTTATCCAGAGATTGCTATAGTAAGGGAGTCAGATCACCAATTTGTTGGTTTCAAACGCAGGCCGAGGAGGGAAAGCTTGATAGAAGTAAAAAGGGAAGCCCCAGGTGTGCCCCGATCAGAGGCTGTGAGCATGGGGATCCTATAGGTGGGCTATGGGCACACCCTGGCTTTCTACTTTGGGTCCTAAGTTGGAACCAAGGGCAGAAATTAGGGAAGCTGTCAATTATTAACCGAGTCCTGGTTGATCTGAGTCAGTGGCTACAGGAGTTATTGTTGGGCTTCTTGGAGTGGTTACCGAAGACTGGGCCAGAGTTCCATTTTGAAAGATGGTTTGGTCATTGTCTGTTTTACCAACCAAAATTAAGTGTGGACTGTGACGAAGAATGAAAAGCATTTATTTGAGCAAAAGGAGCTGCCGCCCTGAAGACACAGATTATTTAGATATCAACCTAAATTGGGAGAACAGAGAGAGGCAGGGTCTATAAAGGCAAAACCCCAAAGTGTAAGCCTTTCCAGGCTTGGTTCGTTTCAATAACAAAGGAGGTGGTGAAACTAGGAGCTTCCCCGTGTTTTTCCAGGGTGTTTATGGCTAGGCCTTGAGCTGAGTTTAGCAACAGGTTAGCAGCTTAATAGCAGCTCTGAGAACTGAGGCACGAGTTGTACAGAGGCCCCACTTCCCTCATAGCCTCCGGAATCTATTTTTAAGTTTCTCTTTAGTAATGCTTGTTCCATTTTATTTTTTTCTCTTAACAGTTTGTGTATCCAATCCCTCAGTCCCTTTTGCTTGACTTTGTAGATCAATTCCGTCCTCCTGACTTGGACGTTGTGGATCCTGAAGCAGAAACTTTCCAGCGTCAATGCTGAAGTCTCAACACTCAAAGACACCAGGTGCGGTCCCTTCTTCCTCTCTCTCCTTTCCCAGTCTTCCTTCTTTATTTCCACAAGTGAGTACCTGTTCTTTGCCTGGTCTTCTACCGAAGACAAAATAGTGTAGTGCCTAGATTTGGGGCTCAAACCCAGCTCAGCCACTTACAAGCTGTGTGACCTTAGGCAAGTTACATAACCTCTCTGAAACTCAGTTTCTTCATCTGTAGAGTGAGGATGTTGATATTGCACACTCTATGTGGCTTATGAAGCACTTAGCACAATTGTTGCTCTTGAAATTGGATTCTTGTGGTGTCAGAAAGGAATTTCAAAGGGCATCTGGGTGGGAGAAGTTTAAATGTAGTGGCAAGATTTGGGGTGAAGGAAAATAATACGTCCTTGGGGATGTAGAGGGCGGCAGGCTCAAGCAGCATTTGATAATCCTTGATAATCATACATATATAAATATATTTAGGGGCCCGGTGTACCTTTAGGGTCTTGCCATCTTATTTAATTTGTAGAACAAGCAATATTATCATGTTATTATAACATAATGCCATTGTTATTATCTCTGTATCAATTGGGGGTAACTGAGACACAGTCAGGTGAATTAACTTACTAAAGCCACAGGTTAGTGAATGAAGCAGTTAGAATTTATGTGCAGGCAGTCTGACCCAGAGTATGAACCATTCCTTATCCTCTATAGCAGCGGTTCTCAACCTTTGGCGGTCGAACGACCCTTTCACAGGGGTCGCCTAAGACCATCCTGCATATCAGATATTTATATCACGATTCATAACAGTAGCAACATTACAGTTATGAAGTAGCAACGAAAATTTTATGGTTGGGTCACAACATGAGGAACTGTATTTAAAGGGCCAGAAGGTTGAGAACCACTGCGTATATTGTCACTCTCATTTCATTTTAAAAATTATTTTATAATCTGCTTTCTGTCTCTCTGGCTTTGCCTGTTGTGGACACTTCACATCAATGGATTCACACACCGTGTGGCCTTTTGTGTCTGGCTTCTCTCACGGAGCATCATGTTTTCAAGGTCCATCCATGTTGTAGTGAGTGTCAGCGCTTCACTCCTTTTCATGGCTGAATAGTATTCCAGTGCCGGGATGGGCCACACTGTGTTGATCCATTCATATTTTGATGGCCACCTGGGTTGTTCCTAGTTGGGGGAGAGGGGAATGGAGAGTGACTGCCTAATAGGGATGGGTTTCTCTCTGGGGTGATAAATGTCTTGGGACTGGGTAGTAGTGATGTTTGTACAACATTGTGAATATGCTAAATACCACCGAATAGCACACTTTATGGTAAAAACAGTGATTTTTATGTAATGTGAATTTTATCTCAATTAAAAAAAAAGGACTTTATAGTATTTCATACCATGGCTTTACCATTGATCAAATGTGTCCCAAACTCATGGACATGTGGGTCCTTCTAGCTTCCAGACAATTGCATTAAATACGCGTTCACACATCTTTGTGCCCAGGTGTACCTGTAGATGTATTGCCTTTCAGGTACCTGTAGAATTTGATTTTCCTCCCTCTAGCCTTGGAGATTGCCCCACGTTTATTCCCACCCTGGTGGCGGGTCCTGGAGTGGCAGCCTCAGACCACTCTTGGGAGCATGACCCACAAGGACAACAGCCCTCCCAGTGCCTTACCCTCTGCAAATCTTCTCCCCCAGGTTGCTGACGTTCAAGGCCTTTGCCCAGCTCTTCATCTTGGGGTGCTCCTGGGTGCTGGGCATTTTCCAGGTAGGACCCATAGCCAGTGTCATGGCATACCTGTTCACCATCATCAACAGCCTGCAGGGAGCCTTCATCTTCCTCATTCACTGCCTGCTCAGCCGCCAGGTATGTGGCTGCTGCCCTCCCTGTCCCTGACTTCCCCCTTCCAGGGGACATGCCTGTGGAGCACACTTCCTGCACCTGGGAGTGACTCATCGCCCCATGTCTGTCTCCAACTCCAGGTACGGGAGGCATACTGGCGATGGATCACCAGGAAGGCCAAACCCAGCTCCCAGTCCCAGACCTCAGGGGTCATACTGACATCCATCGCCTCCACCTCCAAAGCGGTGAGAGACTGGGTGTTTGATGGAGGTTCTGTTGAAGGGCATGCCTGCTTCTTAGCAACACTAGACACTGCTGTGCGTTAGTACCTACAGTGAGCTAAGTGTGTCCACGTGGATTAGTCCCCTGGTGAAATGTGGGGTTTAGGTGCCAGGCTGCCTGGGTTCAAATCTTAGCTTTACCTCTTAGTAGTTATGTGACCTAACCAAGATAAAATCGTGAGTCATATAGTTATAAAATGAGCTTATGTTAAGGATCTTAATTCTACTCACTAATCCAGCGGTTCTCAGCCTGTGGGTCGCGACCCCTTTGGGGGTCGAACGACCCTTTCACAGGGGTCGCCTAGGACCATCGGAAAACACATGTATAATTACATATTGTTTTGTGATTAATCACTATGCTTTAATTATGTTCGATTTGTGACAATGAAAATATATCCTGCATATCAGGTATTTACATGACGATTCATAACAGTAGCAAAATTACAGTTATGAAGTAGCAATGAAAATAATTTTATGGTTGGGGATCACCACACATGAGGAACTGTATTAAAGGGTCATGGCATTAGGAAGGTTGAGAACCTTCCTAATGGGCTCCTGAAAGTGCACCTTTTAAAAGCAAGATGATTTATGCCAGCTCTAACGATGCCATTAAGAAGAAATTTACAGGTATTAAACATGAGTGGCAAGTAAATGGCTTGGATGACATAAAGGACCGTTCAACACTGTAGCAGCCAGAGGGCACTTGTGAACACAGGAGTCAGGTCTCCTCCTTTCTCTGCCGACAGCACGCCATGGCTCCCACCTTACCCAGAGTAAAAGCCACAAAGCCCTTTCCGCTCTGACTCTTTTTCTCCCCGACTTCACTCTGCTCCACCCATACTGGCCTGCTCACATTCTTCAAACATGCCAGGCTCACTTCCTCCTTAGGAACTTGGAATTGGAAGCTCGCTGTCTTAAATGTTTCTTGTCCTGCTACCCACATGACCGACTCCCCCACTTCCCTCACCTCCTTCAAATCTTTATTTCAGTCATTTCTTATCAGCGGAGTTCCTCTGACAACTCTATTTAGAACTTCCTCCTCTTCTTCTACCCCGGTGTTCATGTCTTCCCTGCCCCTTTACCCTGACTTTTTTTGCATGGCACCCCACTTTCCAACATACTGTAGCTCCTTATTTATTTTATTATTCATGGTCTTCCATCCTCCACTAGAATGTTTTATTTTTTTCACTGATATATTACAAGCACGCGAAATAAGATCCAGTGGTTTAATTAAATAGGGAATTGTTTTTCTTGCAAGAATGCAAGCCCAGAGTTAGGGGTTGCTGGTATTGGTTCTATTGCTTGGTAGTATTATAAAGGATTTAGACTCTCCCTTAATTGCCATTCCACTATCGACATGTTGGGTTTCCATCAAATTATTTTCATGATTGCAAGATGACTGCCATACCTCCAGCCACCATGACCATGGTCAAGGCAGGAAGAAGAGGGATGGGCAGAAGCCACAGTCTCCTTTCAGTCCTCTCCCAGTTTAATAGATACAAAAGGTTTCCCAGGAACCCCCAATGGATTTCCAATTCACGTAAATGATCAGAACTGCATCATGTGACCACTCATAGTTATAAAGGCATTTGATAAATCAAGTATTTGGCTTTCTAGCTGAGAGAATGGGAGTTATGACTGGTGAAGAGTTTGAGAATAGCTCTTGAGTTTGCCAATGAGGCCTGCCACGCTAGGAATAATCAGCTAACAGTTTAATGCTTATCCTTCTAATATTTGTTGCTGTATTATCTCTATATTTAGCAGCCCTATACCCCTTATATATATGACCCCTGGAATTATATTTTTACTAATTCTGCTTCTGATTCTGACTTCTTTTCACAGGCTTAAAGCCTTTTCTTGCTTTTTAATACGGTATGGAGCAACATTGGAGAAAAGCAAGTGTCTACAAGAGCCTGTCCTGAAATCTTCTCTTCCTGGCTTAATGCAGAAATACAAGATGACACCAGCCCAAGAATATCCTGGGCAACGCAGAGAGCAGATGGGTGGGCAGTCTCCCCATCATTTTGTGTTCTGGTGGGAAATGAGAGTTTCCATTCCAGATGACAATTTCACCCTCTGTGTCCTGCAAATCTTTGCCTTTCCAGAGTTTTGTGAAAATAACAGATAGTGCAATGGCGTGAGCAAGATCATCTGGCTGCCATTTTGGTTTTTTCTTATGTTCATTGTTGTGTGGCTCCAACCGTACCCCTCTAGCAGCTGCCACGTGCCTGACACAGCACGATGCTCAGTAAAGGATTTGCCACGTGACTGGCTTACCCTTTGACAAACACTATTCCTACCTTCAAAGAAATGGTCAGTAAAACTGTAATGACAGTCCCAGGGGGACAAATAAAGCACATAGACATATAGGCTACTTTGACAGAAACACTCGAGATTTACGAAGGTAAGTAGGAGTGGTTGGTGGAGCAGGACTCTACCATCTCGTGAAGGGTTGAAACTTGATGACAACAGCCTTTGGAAAGTGTTTTGGTTTCCTGGGACCTTTTAGGGAACCATTTCCCTTCCTTCCAGGAACTTTTTTCTGAGTTGGCCAGGATTTACACTGCTCACAAAGGTATCACTGTCCCACCTTGCTCCCCCATAAAGCCTGAAGTGCCAGGGAGAGAAGGAGAGGAAAATTTTAACTGTAGAAATTCTCCTTTCAGTGGCCTCTCCAGTACCTCACTACTCAAAGGGTGGTCCATGGGTCAGCATCACCTCATTCATTGGAAATGCAGGATCTCAGACCCCGCCCCAGATCTGCACAACCAGAACTTGAATTTTACCGAGATCCCCAGGGAATGTGTGCTGTATCCCTGAATGAATATTCTAGAGTATGCTAGAATATTCTTCGGCTTGCCATGATGTTAGCCAGAAAGGAAACATCTTGAGTTTAGAACTTCTACCTGCCACTCCCTCTTCATAGGACACCTTTCCTGAAACTTTGACAAATTTCTGCCCCCACTTTGAGTCTCAGCTTAGTCATCACTTCCACCAGGAAGCATGCGCTGAATCTGAAGTAGGATTCGATGTCACCTCTGTGTGTCCCCTAAGGCTCCCTGCTTTTGAGCCCTGTATTAGAATTTTTCTTTTTCTAGGGTGTTTCCAACATAGATCCGTGAGTACAGAGGACTATATTTAGTAGAGTCTCCATAAACATAGGATGAATAAATGATTGCTCTCCATTTTGAAGATAAGGAACCCGAGACTCTGAGAGGTTAAGTAACTTCCTCAGCATCACACAGCCACAGGTGGCTGAGCTGGGTTTTGAGCCCTTGACCATGGAGTTCTTCTTCCCAACCCCTTGTCCCTCTCCTTCTCTTCCTTTGATCCTATAAATTCTTAGTTTGGGGATGCAGAGAAAGATTAAATATTTACTTTGAGTCACCTTACTATTTAGGATTGAATTAGTTCAGTAATGATCATGTATAAGACAATCTGATCATGAAACTTGATGGAGGCTCAGTGTTTGTTATTTGTGGCACTGACAGCTTGAGAGGGGAGCTGAGACAGCTGATCATTTATGATAGGTTGGCCTTTAATGCTTGGCTTGTCCCGAGTGTTCAGTGCAGAGGGGATAGTTGTAAGGGATATTGAAGCAAGAAATGGCATGGTTTCTTAACCGTAGCCAGCTGTGGTAGGGTGAGTGCGTCAGTGGCATTAACGGATGGTCTCCATCTCTCCCTACCCCTTTCCCCGTAACTGTAACCACTCCCTACTCTGACTCTGGCTTGGCCTTGAAACTTGCTTGGGGCGATGCAATTTTAGCAAACAGGAGTCCAAGAGAGGTTTCCACACTGGATGTGCATTCCTCCTTGCCCTTTACATGCCTGGCCTTGCTTGCTTTGGCACTCCTGCCTCCATGAGAACGCGCCCAGGCTAACCTGCTGGCGGCATGTGAAAAACAAATGGAGGATCCATCAGTAAAGATTTTAAAAAACAACAACACAAAAACAAGTGGAGGAGGGCTCAGCCATCCCATTAGGGCAGCTGGGACTGTCCTTACCCAGCCACCTAGCCGGCTTGTAGCTGACTAGTCTCAGGACTGAGCCGGCCGAATCAGCACCTGCCCACCCATGGACTCAGGATCAACAATCAAGTATCAAGGTTTTAAGGCAGATTTTCAGGAGTGGTTTGCTATTAAGCATTTCTGTGGCGATTGCTAGCTGATGACAACCAACGGGCTGTTAACATTTTGCATTTGATTGCAGCGATTTGAGTACTAAGAAGGGTTTGAGTCTTCATTTCCTCTTAGCTATCAGGATGTGTAAATCTGTATGCTTGAACAAAGTTCTTTCTGACAGGAGCCTCGCACAAGGCTTTGTCTCTACCCGTGTTACATGTTGCTCTAAAACAGTTGCCCTCAGGAACCCTGTATTTCCTATGTAATTGAATAAAGCTGTGACCTCCACTGTAGGAATTTTTCTTACTGTAACATTAAGCTACACTTGGTGAGTTCCCCTCCCCTGTGGTCTCACTTGCCTCCACTAGAGGGAGAAGAGACTCAGAATAAAAACTGCATGGTCCTCAAATTCCATAAATATGAAATAACTTTGCCCTCCTGTAATGCAAAGAATTTACAGTGTCCAAAAAATAGTGACCCATTCTCTCCAGTGATATTTTTTGACCACCTACAATGTGCCTTTTCCTCCTGAATAGCAAAATAGTTGAAAAAAATTGAAAAACCGAAAAGAATATTAGAATATAAAACATTATTCAAAATTAAAATTTTTTATTTATCCCTCAAACCAGAATTTATTAAAATTTGACTTCTTGGTTTGGTTGGAAGCAACTCATCAATAATATTTTCAAAATCAAGTTCCAGAAAAATATTAACCATTAAAAATATACTTGCCTGGCTGGTGTGGCTTAGTGGTTGAGCATCGACCTATGAACCAGAAGGGTCACAGTTCGATTCCTGGTCAGGGCACATGCCCAGGTTGTGTCCTTGGCAATCCTTGCTTATAATCCTTGATAATAGCCCTAGCTGGTCTGGCTCAGTGGATAGTGTCGGCCTGTGAACTGAAGCGTCCCGGGTTCAATTTCAGTCAAGAGTACATGCCCGGGTTGCAGGCTTGATCCCCAGTAGGGGGTGTGCAGGAGGCAGCTGATCAATGATTCTCGTCATTAATGTTGAGAATCTCCCTCTCCCTCTCTGAAATCAAATTAAAAATAAATTTAAACACACACACACACACACACTGATTATAGTGATAATCTAGTAGTGACATATGTCCATAGGTAGAGGGAAAATTATGACACAGCAGAGCTAAATGTCTCATGTGCACATAGGAAATTGCCCTGCGGGTGACCTACAATAGGCATGCCTGTGTTATTTTGAAAGCTTTATTTTTCCCACTTGTCTTTTCAACTCATCAAACCTTTGGAACTTCATTGTTCCCTTGATGGTTGCATGGAAATCTATGGTTCACATATCATAATGTATTTAACCTGAGTTTGCATCATTTCCAACTTTTCAGTGTTATAAACAATACTGTAACGAACATCTTCGAGGTACATTTTAAACATTCTATTTAGATGCTTCTGAAGTTACTAACAGTTATTCGTGAGAGGAAACTTACATGTCTCGATGTCTAGTTAGAGAAAAACAACTGCACAAATCGGCCAACTGTCAAAAAGTAAAGCATTAGAAATACAGTAATTTGGAGATAACTTAAGATCTACTCATGGAAAAGCTTTCCACTGTGGGTGCTAAGTCATCTGATTGCTTCCTGTCTTCAAATTTCTGTTCCATTGTACCTAAAGTTATCATCCTTCTATTTGTAATTCTCAGCATGCCGGGCAATCAGATGTTCATGTTTTGTCCCTAGCTTTCCCACTAGTTCCTTGACTGAGTTATCTCGATATGCCCATAACCGCGCAGAAGATTAGGTTCACTGATTAACTCAATAATATTTGTTAAGTGAATGTGTCAAGGAAAGAGAGTTAGAACAGGGCACCGTTTGAAGGATGACTCTCGGTTTTACAAAGACAGCCATCGTTGCTTAAAGACAGGCATATGTTCTGAGAACTGTATCGTTAGGTGATGTGGTCATTGTATAAACATCACAGAGTGCACTTACACCGGCTTAGCTGGTCTGTGCCCACCATTGTACCTGTGGTTCATTGTTGACCAAAATATCATTATTATGTAGCCTATGGCTGACATGTCTTGTTTCTGCAGTTGCCCAAATACTCTTGTTTAAGTTCCCACTCACAGCCCTCTGGTAATTTCATTACAAACACCATTTCTAAAATGACAACAGGCTACTCAGGTCAGGTTCCTTGAAAGACAAGGATTTTGTTGCCTCTGACTCACGGAAGGAGTGCCCTGAGAAGAGAGAGAGAGTGACGAAAGCAGAAAGGGGTCGGAGAGGATCTGGGTTCTTCCTGATCCTACCGTGAGTTCTGGAGCATGAATAGCTTCTCAGCACCATTCCGTTTTGAGGCAAGGAGACCAGCCTTTTCAATCCTCCTGTCAGTCAGTCATTGGCTGTGTGATGCCCTCATGGTGGGGAGGTGTTAACAGCTCCCATTCAGCTGAAATCAATTTTCTCTACAAGGGAGAGCTGGCTCTATTAGGGAATTAAGGATGGACATCAAAAATACTGACTACGGTCCTGGCCGGTGTGACTAAGTGGTTACAGCATCTGCCCATACACCAAAGGGTCTCAGGCTTGATTACCGGTCAAGAATATATACCTGGGTTGCAGGCTCAATCCCTGCCCTAGTCAGGTTGTGTGCAGGAGGCAACCAAATGATGTGTCTCTCTCATACCCATGTTTCTCTCTCTCTCTCTCTCTCTCTCTCTCTCTCTCTCTCTCTCTCTCTCTCTCTCTCTTCCTTCTTCCCCTTCTTCACTCTCTTCCACTCTTCTCTAAAAATCAATGGAAAAAATATCCTCAGGTGAGGATTAACAAAAACAACAACAAAATACTATGGCCCAACTGATGTGTCTCAGTGGTTGAGCTTCAACCCATTAACCAAGAGGTGGCCTGTTCGATTCCCTGTCAGATCACATGCCTGGATTGCAGGCTCTATCCCCAGTAGTGGATGTGCAGGAGGCAGCTGATTGATGATGTTTCTCTCATCACTGATGTTTCTATCTATCCCTCTCCCTTCCCCTCTCTCTAAAAATCAATAAAAACATCAAAAAATACTGACTTCGTTGCACCATCCCCACAACTATCTAAAATGAAAAAAAGTCTTATTGATCACTTAAATACTTGTTTGATGCTTATTGTAATGAGATTTTGAACTGCATTAAAAAATGTTTTAAATGATGTTGCAAATGTCTTAGACATTCGGGGAAAGCCATCCTCTTACTAAAAGATCTTAGAGTTTGTATCCACTTAGCTTTATTGAACCTAGAATGCAATGGCTTTTATTTTTGCAAATATACCATTAATAAAGTGCTTTCATCTGTAAAAAAAAAAAATTAAAAAGGGTCAGGAGATATTTCTAATGCTGATCTTGGGAGAAGCATGCCTTCTCTTTTGAAGTTTTATAATGTACAACACCTAATAGTACTTGCCATTTCACCTTTGAATAATACATCACTTCATAATCAATATTTGGTATATACCCATTTGTGCCCTTACTTCATGAATAATTCCCAATGTTGATAAAATGATCCCTTCCATGGGTAATTTGAAACTCTCAAGCTGCAACTGTCTGTGCTGCTAATATGGACTGGCTCAGTTTACTCACTGAGCTTTTTGACCACAGGATCTCAGAATGTCTTCTTTCCTCTTCCCTATTTCTCAGAAATATCTCATTTCAGGAGTTTGTGGGTGTTGCTGGGTTACTATCTGGTCTCTGCTCAGGGTGAGTTTCCACCATCCTTCTTTACATCCTCATCCAAGCCCCTCACATGCCTTCTCCCCATCTATCTGCCCAGCTCAGCACAGCAATCTCCATCCGTGGCCATGTCAAGTCCACTGAATGCTGAGATTCATCCTGACAGGTTCACACCCCAGCGTGGGACTGCAACCGTCTCCTGGGCTTCCGAGCTGTTGTACTTGGGCATAGAGTCACCTCTGACTCATAAACACCACGGCACCATCTCTCATTCTACCCGTTCACTTCAGGGGCCTCCAAGTAGCCACTTAGGTCTGCTGGACAGACTGTCCACCCTTCTGCCTTCTCTCGCTTTTCCTTCCAGTGGAATCTTCTCAAAACCTCCATGCATATCTACTCCTACAGGTTTGGGAGGTGATGTAAGGTGTATGCCAATTATTTGCCAAAGTGTTTAATTCTGTCTGGTCCAGCCCAAACACCAGTGACACATAGATCAGAAAATCCAAGAGTCTCAAAGATGCTAAGAAAATGTCACAAAGTCATTTATTTGTCCTACAAGTACTTATTCAGTATCGACTCTAGAAACTGCGGCTACAATGCTAGGCAAGTTGTACATTGTCTTTCCTGCCATGGAACTTGCATTCTCCTGGTGGGGAGACCCAATAAACAAGCAATGAAGATCTAAGTGGGCTGGAAGTCTTCCGTGGACCCCTCCAAATCCATGCAGATGAGGCCTCGAATGCTGACATCTGATTATAACTATGAACTTTCTTGGACTCTGGTTTCCAGGGCTTTTGGCCCATGGGCATCACCAACAGGATATTAGAAAAAGGGAGGAGGGAAAGGTTCCCTCCCTGTGGGTCGCCATGGACTGTCTGTTCTTTGAATGATGACTCCAGCTTCATGATCTGGTGCTCCCAGTCTTAACAATTATAATTTCTTACTCCTTATACATTCTGATGTTTCCTCAATAGCATTGCATGTAATTCCTAAACATTTTAAGCCTACCCTGTGATTTTATTTCTACATGAAATGAAAATAAAATATAGAAAGCTTCTGTTATGAAATTTTGGGAATTAATATATGGATTTTTTGCATGAATTACAATACATCCTGCCCTTCCCACCATCAACTTGAGTGTTGTGATAACTACATGATCACTACAGAGATAAAACAAAAGCCAATGTTGTCTGGATTTTATGGAAAATAATGTCTAGCAAAATCCATGGGTAAAGGGTAGGATTTTGCCCAAATCCAAACAGGTCAACCAAGTTCCTTGTTTAAGCCTGAATGGAATCAGTAGTTTATTTATTATTTCTTTATTTTTTATTAAAAGAAAAGTCACATAAAAGAAATTTACTATTTTAACCATATTAAAGTGTACAATTCAGTGACTTTTAGAATAGTCAAAGTGTGCAGCTTTGTGGAGCCATATTTTATTTATTTTAAATTAAATTTATTGGAGTAACATTGGTTAATAACATTGTGTAATTTTCAGGTGTATAAGATTCTAATTTGACATCAGTGTACTGTATTGGTTGTTCCCTACCTGAAGTCTAGTCTCTTTCCATTTCCATATATTTGACCCCTTTACCCACTTCGTCCACCCCC